TTTTTTTTTTTTTTTTTTTTAAGAAATGCAGCTTATTTCCTACTTTCAAGTAGACACCATCACAAATATGGTTGCAAATTAGTACCTCATGAAAAAAAAATGAGCTTTGATGAATAAGAATGATTTCTCATCAGACCTTATCTGGCATATTAAAACATTTTCTCAAAGAGCAAAGCCATTTATCATAAAGTATGAAAAAGTGAAACCAAATCCATTGATAATCCGATTTATCAAGTATGTGAGGAATTAAAGAGCAGCTGCTCTCAAGGCTCTGTCTCCGCTAGAAAAAGGCCGTATGAATTTCGAAAAATGAAAATGCATTTTGTACCGCTAGAGGGCACTGTTGCCCAGCAAAATGTTCATGTCCCATTGATTTTTTTTACCCCCCAAGATTTTTCAGATACTTTTCACCAAAGCCATGAAAGCTGTAGAGCACGTTGGAGAGATGTTTGAGCCTTTACCTAAGCCACACCTTTTTTTGCACCACAACGTGAAAACTTAAAAACTTACTGCAAGAGGTCCCTGAGGCTGTTTTAGACATAGAACCATGATTGTAGATGACACTCGGGAAGTCACAAGGCTGTGTTTGGTCCACTTGAGCAGGAGCTGGAACAGGAGTTAGCCGAGCAGAAGAGCCTCCTCCGGTCAGTAGCCAGCCGCGGAGAGGAAATTCTAACTCAACACTCGGCTGCGGAGACCTCCGCTGGTGCTGGGTAGGTTTCCACACGCTCTCTCTATTCTGGTCACTGTTTTCCTAACGCCCGAAGAAACGTAAACATCTCGATCAAACTTTTATTTTAAACATCCTGCAGGATAGGTAACATCTTTCTTTTAAAGCGGAGAAAATTGAGACTCAGAAACGTGAAGCCAATTACTTCAAGTCTCAAATCTAATGTGCTGGAGCAGGGATTTTTTAAATTTATTTTTAACGTTTTATTTTAATTACAGTTGACATTCAGTATTATATTAGTTTTGGGTGTCCAGCCGATGGAGCGGGGATTTAAAACTCAGCTCTGTTTCACCCTAAACGCCTTAGTAATTCTCAGATGCATGCCGCTGCGTGTCTTTGAGGGTGAGAGGCAGGTGCCTCCCTCTAGTCCGTGCCCTAAAATCTCGTCCATCACCTGGCACCTGGCCTCTGGGCTCAGGGGAGAAAAGCAGCATTTTACGGTTTTGAATTCATTCGCGGGCTATTTGTCAAAGGAGACCTTGTCTACATTCTCCCTGATCCCCAAAGATACAGTTGTTTTTATCTTTAATGCTGAGCTATTTCCAATATATTTAAAATCATCTTTGTGTTCATGGCTCCGTTATAATATATTTGTTTTATGGTTACTCTCACACTTTCCATTTTAATTTATATTTTTTAAAGTGTGAGCCAATGACTGAAATAATCTGGTTCTAATTTGGAAGGCTGCATCTCACGCACACAGTAAGTTACCTGGAACCTATCAGTTTTTCGCACACATTGTGAATGTAGATTATTTATTCCTCTAACAGTGAAAAGCCTGATGGGTCATCCCAGGCGTTGGGGACAGAGGGAGAGAAGGCCCCTGCCGAAGCCCAGATGAGAGTGAAATGGGAAAGCCTGCACCAAGAATTTAGCACCAAGCAGAAGCGACTACAGAACACTCTGGAACAGGAAGAACAAGTGGTACCAGACATTTCGCTTTCATACATTAACGCATATAAAAGATGTGCAGCTTTGCTGAGACAATATAACTGTACAGCCATCTACATTTTCATTCTTAATCCCAAAATAAGTCGTGAAACAAATTATTCTTCCTACGTTTTTGTTAATAAGCCTGTTTCACATTTCCCCTAACAATTGTATGTTTATATGTGAAAATTTGATTTCTAGGTACTGTTTTTCCTCGGAGGCAATCAATATCTGATTACTCATTAGCACAAACCGTTAAATTTTAAGTGTCCACCCCATATGTCACAACTTCAATAATTATGGACGTAAACCAGGGATATATACATCTCGTACAAAAGAAACTGCAGAAACCTGGAACTAAATTGTCAAGTTGTCTTGTTTTCCACCCTTATTTCTAGTATTTAATAGTTTCAGAAGGTCTCAATGAGAAACTGTTGGGACCGCGGTGGTTCTAAAAGGAAGGGAAGCCAGCGGCCCGCTGGAATTGCTCCTGTGGCCCATGCTCAGGCTGGCCTGCAAGAGGGTAGGTGCTGTGTGACGCTGGACTTGCTCCACCCAGCAAGCCAAACCCAGTGGAATTGAACGGAGCCGCAGGGGTTCCAGGTAAATCGCTGTTAGTTCTCTCTAAGCCGAAGCCAGAGAGTCAGAGGACTAGACAGCTTGGAGAGCTGGTGAGTGAGGCCAGAACCCAGCCTTGCCCCAGCAGGATTTAAGACAGAAACTAGTCCCGGGTCCTGGGCTAGCAATGTGCATCTGGGCCGTCCCGTGCGGTGGTATTAACATAGCAAATTCTAGGCCTTTCCTTTGGATCTGAGGAACCTGGACACAGTCCCTATGCTCCTAAGTAAGCCACCCCGTTTGTCTGCAGCTCTACAGCAGGCCAAATCGGCTCCTGTCCGGCGTGCCACTATACAAAGGGGGCGGGCAGACCCAAGACAAATCTGCAGTGACGTCTCTGCTGGACGGATTGAACCAGGCCTTCGAGGAGGTTTCATCCCAGGTAGGGCCGTGCTCTGAGGTTGCTCACGGACCTTGGTCTTCATGAAGTTCTTCCACCCCTGGGCGTGAACTGTGGCGACCCAACCCTAGGGAAGAGCCCTGGAAGGCAGGGCCTCTGGACCCTGAGGGCTCATCATCTGGTGATTTTCTTTCATTTCTCCAAAGACTGTAATTAATTCCTTCCTCTGCCTCTTTATTCCCAGGGTGGAGGGACAAAGAGGCAGAACACTCACTTGGAACAGAAGCTGTATGAGGGAGTCTCAGCGGCCTCCACGTGGTTGGATGGTGTTGAGGAACGTCTGTTTGTTGCCACAGCCCTGATCCCAGAAGAAACGGAGACCTGCCTCTTCAACCAGGAGGTCAGTTTGGCAGCGCGTGTCTGTGAGCCCGGCTGCCTGTGACGCAAGGACTTGATATGTACGTAGATTCCTGGGTCTAAATGTTGACATGGCCTTCTCTCTTCTGCACCCAGACTCTTGCCAAAGATATTAAGGAAATGTCGGAAGAAATGGATAAGAACAGGAACCTGTTTTCCCAAGCCTTTCCGGAGAATGGTGACAACCGCGATGTCATTGAAGACACTTTGGGGTGCCTTCTGGGGAGGCTGTCCTTGCTCGACTCAGTAGTGAATCAGCGATGTCATCAGATGAAGGAGAGACTTCAGCAAATACTAAACTTCCAGGTAAGACGTTATCAAGCAGAGGTTGCCCATTCCCCAGCCGTAGTCAGTCATAAACAGGATGTCGTATTGGAGTGTGATATGCCTAGACCTGTTTTTTCCCCCCAAATGTACAGTGAAGACCAAGAACATTACAGAAAAATTAGGGGATTGAACTCAAGAGTTAGAAAACTAAGAGTTTTATGCTCCTAGAAATGGAGGTTGAGAAAACCAGCCAACCAAACTTAAGAGCTGAGTAGGACTTCAGATTCAACCAATAAAAGTCATATTTATGGCACATTCTAACTATAACTTCCAGTTGATAATAGTAGCGATTAAAACATATAACCAAAGAAACATGCAGGAAGGGCTGTAATACAGTGAAGCCTGGACTCCAGGCCCGTCGCAAGTGACCGTGGCCTAATGAGTCCCACCTGTGTTTAAATATATTGAGCTACTTCCCAGCCCTCGACCTCAGACCAGAGTTCTGCTGCCAACCGAATAATCGTGTGTCTATGAAACTTTCCCTACGACTATAAATTTCAGCAAATGCAAAAGTAGCTGACAAACCTTTAATGTTGATTTTCATTCCTAATAAAAAGGTATCCTTTGGGGATACTTAAGTGTTCCTTGAATTTTATTGTTAACAGACATAGAAGTTTTATAAAATGGACACTTGTGATCAGGACCAAAAGTTTAATGTAAAAATTTTGATTTCCAAAGGAGAAAAAAAAAATACTGTAATGTGTTAAATAAATGTAGAAATAGCCAAGAAACAAGGAGTTTTTTGGATATATATATATCTAGAGAGACACATTACCTCTGCCTTGCGGTAGCTTATATTCTTAAAACTACAAAGTAAAATTATCATGGACATTCGTGTATCATTTTTTTATTCACAAAATATTTTCACGTGTACTGTCGTCTTTAATCTTCACGACATCCCTATTAACTAAGCATTGTTCTCGTATTCATTTTGCAAAGTCAAAAGAGCAAAAATTAAGAACAGAGTCTCTAAAGCCAACCCCCCCTGGGTTCAAATGCTGGCTTTGTCCCCTCCTGCTGGAGAGCCTTAGCTGCTTCTCAGAGCCTGCGTGTCTGCAACTATTAAATCACACCCATGCTGATGGCCTCCTAGGGTTTTGTGGTAACCCAAGCAATATCATATCTCATAAGCCAAACCCTTGTTTCTAGCACCATTTTTCCAGTGCCGTTATTACATTTTCCTATTTAGTCTGCATCTAGGCTTGCAGACCCATTTGGGTTTTGGTTAGTGACATTCCCCCTTAGCATCGTATGCTTCTTTCAAATTCTCCTGTTCATTCCTTTTAAAAAAAAATTTACTGCAGTCCACTCACTGTTTTGCCTTTGAGCCTTGCATTTTGTGTGATGATGCTCCCAGACAGCCTTAAAGTTGTTTTTTCTTCTTTGGTGTGATTGTCCGCCTCGGGGGATAGTCAAAACTTCTGCGTCTTGGCAACGTGCCCTTGTATCTGACTTGCCCCCGAGAAGAGGTGATAAATCAGGCTTCATCCTGCCACGGACAGCCAGGCAGCCCGTTCCATGTGCTTGCTGACCAATAAGAAGTTTGCTAATGGTTGGGGGGTAGGGGGTTAAATATTTTATCATTCAAATGTTGTCCCAGTTCATTTTTCCCTTTAGAAGTTAGTACCAACATCCTGATAGTTCCTTCAGTTTTGTACAAATCTAACTCAAGATAAATATATTTGGACTTTTTTATTGATTTTTGAGAGAGAGAGAGAGAAACATTGATTTGTTGTTCCACTTATTTACGCATCATTGGTTGATCTTGGTATGGGCCCTGACCGGGATCGAACCCACAATCTTGGCTATTGGGACGATTCCCTAACCAACTGAGCTACCCAGCCAGGGCATATTTGGACTTTGAAGTGAGTAATGTTCATGAACAAAAGGCTTGGCTAAGGCCTGTTGGTGTTTTCTCTTAACATGTCTTTGGTCATCACGGAGACAGCTATTTTCTAAACTTCTAGGTGGCTTTTTATGGGCCTGTGTAAATTCTTTGAAAACAGGGAAAAGCAGGAAGCGAGGGAGAGAGAGGGGAGAGGGGAAAATGAATCATATTATTCTTAAGAACCATATTATTTTTCCAAATCCAGGTAATGTCTACAAGTTGTTTTACTAGATAGACGTCATTAGTGGACTATATCTGCTGGAATGTTTGTATGTTTTTATTTCAGACATAACAAGAAACTCAGGGTGACCAGCATTGCTTTTTCATTTGTATACTTTGTCTCCATGTGTGTTGTGTTAGAAATGGTTTGTGTAACAAATTCTTCAAAAATCAAATTTAGCACTTGGGTAAATTGTTACCAGTTTCCTTTACCTTCTCAGAGAACGGTATTGTGTTTTCCTGGACATAATATTTCTATACCTGTATATCATTTCTAAGAATGTGTGTTTGTTTACAACCATTTTGAGTTCCCGGTGCCCATGTGAAATCTTCCTGTCCCTCCGCCTTCCCCCAGAACGATCTGAAGGTGCTGTTTACCTCGCTGGCTGACAACAAGTACATCACTCTGCAGAAACTGGCAAACACGTGTGAACGGCCCGTGGCGGAGCAGATAGAGGTATTTGCAGTTGCCTTTTTCCAAAAAGAGCAAACGCATAGAGTAGATAGGATTTACCATGAAATGTCAACTATGCTATGAAAGATGAATGGCCTACTCTGGCATTTTCGTTGGTGACGTATTTTGTTTTTAAGAGCTGGATTTGAATGACTGGCCAGGTTACACTGACTCTCTCACTTACACTTGCACGGAACTAGGAAATATGAGCTAGGAAAAGGCGTCAGTGACAGATGCTGACCTGAAGAAGTGTGTCCCCGAACAATGAGATTAGACATGAATGTCAGTGACCTGCGCAGGAAGTCACACTGTCCCGGAGGTGGTACAGAGGAGCACTGTGGACGTTCAGAAGAGGGGCAGGTTGCCTCCAGCAGGGGGAAGGTCAGGAAAGAGTCTGTGAAGGGAAGTTTGAACAAAACTTAGAAGTTTGGACACACAGACTGAGAAGAAAGGCATCCACGTGAGGAGACAGCGAGAACCAAGGTGTACATGATAGACGGCTCAGAGCTCTTCAGGAGAAAGGCGAGGAATCCTTTCCAGCTGAACTTGCGATGAATGAATGTGATTGAGGGGAAACAGGTCAGATGAGCAAATTTGAGGCCCCTTGTAGGGCCTAGTGCACATTAGAGAATTTGGACTTTATTCCGCAGTTCATTGGTTTCCAAACTTTATTGATCGCACACCTCACTAGTTAAAACAAACAAGCACATACCACAAATATATGACTATGTACTTATTTATAAGTTATAAACAGGCACTATGTTATAAAGCACACGCAGAAACAGAAATGAAAATTGAAAGTGATATGGATGAATATGAATGAAAGAAGTAGTGTTTCATCCTTATGGATCATCTTAAACACTCTGGATGCCTGTCTTCACTGGGGACAACTGGCAGTGGAAAGCCGCTGGGCATGGTGCAGGGTGAGAGTGAGTCTCGGTGCCAGAGCCTGCTTCCGGAGGGCGGGCCTGGCAGCGCCAGGGTCCGGGAGCAAGGTGTTCATCACGGGGCTTCACGTAGCCTGACTGAAAGGAAGGAATGAGAATTCAGACTAGGGTAATGGCAGGGGGAACAGGGATGAGAGGAGAAATGGGGAAGATGCTACTCAGAATACCTCTTGTTTCATCAGCTACGTAGTTATGAAAAATGTGCCTTGTAATAAAATGTTATAACCTAATTCCAGTAGACCTCTAAGCGTCCTATGAATAGACTGTCGAGAATCACCCAGAACATTTCTCTATATAAAGAGTTATCCATATCTCTTTACCTACCTACCTGAGAGAGATCGCCTAAAATAGTTTATAAATTACATGTGAATACGTACTTCTCTTGACCATAATTTTACCCGCTATGTCATATCTCCTGCTTAAAAAAAACTGTTTTCAATTTTAATGATTTTATTTTTAGCTTATAATGTACCTGATTCTAAAGAAAAGGTTTGAGCAGCCAGATGCCTTGCCTTGAATTTCTAATGTGAAATACAGGATGCGCAAGATTACAAGCTACATTTTTACTAGTAACTGACCAAGATAACTAAATGCCACAGTTAAAAGTAAATAACTAGATTATTTCTTTGAATAAATGAAAAGCCACTAAAAAAAAAAAAAAAAGGTGCTAATTCCATCCCTACTTTCCTTGGGTTAAACAGGTAATAATACAGAAGCCATGGGGATGACACCTCTGAATATACCCCGTATTGACCTGTGACAGTCTGAGCTAGAACACTCTGGGCTGCCCATTAGCCTAGTGCAACGCTGTCCTCGGGATCTTCTTTCACCACCATTCTGGGAATTCCCCCGCTTCTCCCTCTGTTGGACCTTCCTTGCCTGAGGAAGTCCTGCTCCCTTGTTTTGTTCGTGCGCATCCCTGCTGAGAAAGGGTGCATGCTAGATACGTTTTTCGATATTTTGCATCTCTGAAAATGTTCTGATTCTGTGTCCACACGTTATCCATAGCTTGGCTCTTCATGGGATTCTTGGTCGGAAATCCATTTCCTGTAGAGTTTTGAGGCTTTTGTTTTATTGTTTTCTAGATCCTGCTGTTAGCTTTAGGAATCTAAAATCATTCTAATTCCCCAAAGACCCCAGTGTTCTGCAGTTTCACAGGGACGTGCCTGGGGGTAGGCCCATTTTATCCGCTGGGCTGGGAGCTCAGTGGGCTCTTTCAATCTGTCTGCTCTCCTCTTTGCATTCTGGAAAAGTTTCTAATGATTTATTTAATATTTTTATTCCTCTATTTGATCTGTCTCTGTTTCTGGAAATTTGGGGGAGGGGGGCAGATATTGGGTATTCTGGTCCAGTCCTCTAATTTTGTTATCGAGAGACATTTCTTTGTCTTTTTGCTCTATTTTCTGGAAAACTTTCTCAACTTCAACTCCAAACTTTTCTCCTGAGTTTGCTCCCATATGTTTAATTTTCCCAGAGCTCATTTCGGTTTTCTCAGTGATCCTTTTTTATAGTATCCTGTTCTTTTTTTAAAATAGATACATTATCCTTTGTCATCTCTCTGGGTATATTATTTTTTTTAATGAAGTTTTATTTTCCCTGTGTAATTGGTTTCCCTCCAGGTTATTTTTGTTGCTTATTTGGGTTTCCACCTTTCACGTGGAGGCATTTCTCAGGAAATCCTTTGCTGTCTGTTTAGTTTAGGACGGAGGACTAATCACCTAAGTGGCAGCTTGATGGATGGCCAAGGCTTGACAATGTTGAGATTTACGGACGGGTGGTCTACGTGGGCTATTTGTTGGAGAATCCTTGTGTCAGATTTTTAGGTCTCTCTGTTGGTCTTTTCATATTTTTCCCTTTCCTATCTGGAGAGTAGGGCCTGGCTGCAGCACTCCAGAAGACGCAGGGGCCCTGCATTCAGCATTCAGGGGGCGTTCACTCTCCCCCCTGTTTTCACTCAAGTGCTCAAGCCCGCGGCTATGTCTGGTGCCCCTCAGCCCAGAGACTGTCTGTCTCCCTTCTCCAGAGGGTCAGCGTTCCACCTTTCACCAGGGAAGGAAGGGGGAGCGTGGAGTGCGGGAAGGGACCTGGGAATCTAACTTCTCTCCAAGGCGCTTCTCTCACCAGCCCTCGTTACTCAGCGCCCCTCTGACTCTACCAGAGGGCCAGAGACTCCTGTGGCTGTAAATTTGGGGGTAAAGACCCCCTGCTGGATTAGGATCCAGCTTTCTGAGATGTCCTAAGTCAATTACCACGTGTCTTTAGATCTCCAGCTTTCAACATTTTGTTGGTATTGCCTTCTTTCCTTTTGCCTTGTTCTTGTAGATTTACAGGGGGAACACACACCCTAAAACAAGCCAACCCAATATTTTCTGTGGTGGTGGTGGGGGCGCTTCGGGAAAGAAAATGGGACACATGGTTTTTATCTGCCATGGGAGCTGACATTCTTTTCATTCCCCAAGGGCTGGCTTGTTCTGCCCCAGAATTCACGGGATCTCCCATTTGTTTCCTCAACGCTCTGCCAGGGACGACTCGTGTCAAGTTTAGCACATAACTGTTTCTTGTCCTCTGTTTACTCTGGCTCCCTAGCCAGACGGTTAGCTCTTGGGGGCCAGGCGGAGATCCTGTTCTGCTCCTGCACGCCTCGCCCTGGGGAGACAGGGCTTAGCTCAGCAGCCGCTGTGCCACTTGTTGACTGTGTGACTTTCTGCTTCAGGGTGAGCTTTCCCTGACCGTGCTGTCAGGTGTTTTCAAAGATGCTCAAAACTGCCTCTCAGGAAACCAGAACAGGAGCCCCCAGAGAGCTCAGGCAGATGTCATGCTTCTTTTTGGGTGTCGTTGCTATTTATTAGGGAATTTCTTTCTTTGTTTGCAGGAGGTATTGTTCCCCCAACCCTCCATTCCCAGCACCGCCTACCTCCTTACCTTTAAGACAGCCGGTGGGTAGTATCCTAAAGGACCCCCTCCGCTTTTCCATATCGTAGGCGACCGCAGTTTCTATGTTGTTCTGCAATAAGCTTTGTTGGGTGTATTGTTTTATGTGGACAGAAGAGGGATCAGTAAGGAGACGCGATAGTCACATGTTTGTGGGAAATTATCTGTAGACGTTTTAATGAAATATCATAAATTTTACCCAGGCGATACAACAGGCTGCCGAGGGGCTAAAGGAATTGGATGCAGGAATCGCGGAACTAAAGAAGCGCGGTGACAAGTTGCAGCTTGAGCAGCCCGCCCTGCAGGAACTCTCCAAGCTCCAGGTCTGACTTCCCGCCACCAGCACTCACTGATGCCTCCGAACCAGAAGTCAGGAAAAAATTATTTTCTCTATTTTCTTGGTTTTTCTCGATAAAATTCCTATCACTTAAATTCTAATCTTTCTTCGAAGTAGCTCTTAGAAAATTTGCTGAAACTTCTACCATATACACTGCAATAAACATATTGTATTCTCGTACTTCTAAGGTTCTTTTTCCCCCCTGACATTTATTATGATTCCAATGACTAAGCATTGTAGTATAGTTTAGTTGTATATTATTTTCTATGGTAGAAAATGTAATAATTATCTGTCCAACCTAGAAAAGATAAAGAAGGGAGCTCTATTGTGTATCATAATGTACCCCAAAAATCTGTTTTAAAGAAAAAATACTCAAGCTAATGCTTTTTTAAAAAGTAGTTTTTAAAAAGTAGTTGTTCAAAACTATAGTTTCTCTTGTATACGTGTTTGAACAGAAAAGAGTGATTGTTTCAGTTCCAGAGCAACAACAACAGAAATTAAACAGGAAGGTAGCTGACATCTACACAGACCTCCCGAGCTCCCTCAGGGGCAGAGGGCAACTCTGGGTTACTTCGCTTTCCTGAATCTGATATCAGGGTGGTAGGCAGATCCTGGGACCTGAGACCAGCAAAAGTTAGCCTTTGATAAGCAACATAGCTAAGTTACACTAAGAAAAGAATTTGCATGGAGCCACAGGCACGTCATTCTCTGCCCGTCACTGACGGTTGAGGAATCACGAGTCCGCATCCAGCCCAGCCTCACGGGCTCTTCCTTTAAAGAAAGTAAAAGAGCTCTTATTTTTAAAGGAGCATTTTTATTTTAAGGGTCTCATTCCACCATCTACCATTTCACAGTGTCATGAGCCCACGGCCCCACTGCGCCCCTTTTCAGGCGGCTCCCCGACAGCGCTTGAGTGCCAGGCGTACGAGTCCAGCGTCACAGCTGTAAATAGGCCTTCACGTTGAACTTTCCAGCTTGGACGTCTCTGGCCGGCTAAACCTGAGCATGGCGCATTAATCAGGGCCATGTGGCTCAAATAAATTGTGTGTTTGGTGTATCATCATCTCCTGAAATGTCTTCTCAGTTAAGATATTTATCTACTGCACCACATTTGGCAAAAAGCGCTGCCTTTTCAAGTCGTAAAAGCTTTGGGCTCACATTAAACTCCTCCGTTTCTCAGGCTCTTCATTCGAAGGATAGTCCCAAACCTGATGATTATTTAGCAGCTGGGGTGTCAAAGATACTTTATTCAATTACTCTAAAATGCTGTGAATGTTGAGAACATGATAAAAATCAGAATCACATTTTCTGTGGCATTTCCCTTCACCCCCATGAACAAGTTTGCAACATCTTAACCCCACATCTCGCCACAAACATTGACATCCCAGGAAGACAGTGGTCACATCTACTTTGTGTATCATTTCTAGGCAACCTCTTTGCATATCCATTGGAACCTAGCTTATCTTTTTTGAAAGAAGTTTCTGAAGCGAGGATTCTAAGAGGGGCAGGCAGACAGGTGCCCTATACGCAGAGCACCACCTGAAGGAGCGTCCTTGGGTCGTGGGTGTGGTAGGAAATACATCTTTAGAGAGGAGCCATACCATGGCTTGAGTGTGAATATTGCTGTCTCTCTTTCTAAGGACATGTATGACGAACTGATGATGACCATTGGCTCTCGGCGGAGTGGACTGAACCAGACCCTAGCGCTCAAGAGTCAGTACGAGAGGGCCCTGCAAGATCTGGCCGACCTGCTGGAGACTGGACAAGAGAAGATGGCAGGCGACCAGAAAATGATCGTGTCTTCCAAAGAGGAAGTCCAGCAACTACTTGACAAACATAAGGTAAAGAGAGACAGGCAGACAGACTGTACTTGTGAAAGCGTAATATCACTTACTGAGATATACTTAGTAAAACCCAGTTTTTTCAATCTTTTAGGAGTTCTACTTGTATCAGTTAACCTCTAAAGCGGTCAACAAATGTGTACTCAAACTCACTGGCATTCAGTAGCACAGAACAATTATAGATGATATGTTCTATAATGTTATCAGTTAAAAAAGAATGCCAACCTTACCAGTAATTTTAATTATCACCCCCTCACCGGTATCAGCCAGGCTCTCTCTCTATGTAAACTGCAGTCAGCGGGAAACTCAGGGCATCTCTTCAAAGGAGCCCAGCTTCCTCCGTAACTGCTATTTTCCTGTGTCCTTTATGCCCCTTGGTTCCCCTAGTCCTAGGTGCGCTCTCTCTGCCTTCCCCTGTCCTGGCCAAGGACTCCTCACTTGGCTCTGAATTTGGGTTTCTGTCTCTTACATATGTCTCCTGGTTCTTTTGGCCTTAAGCACATGGTCCTCTAGAGGCCTCAAGGCTTTTTTCCCGGGGACAATCGAACTTGGTTGGCCTGCGACTGCTCCATCAGTTTGTGGCGTACCAGGTTCCAGTTAGACACGACTCCTTAGTTCAGGCGAATCCATGCAATGCACCCACACAGGTGACTCTCACTTTATTAGCAATGATTACAGAAATAGCAGTCTTGCCAGTCCAGAGCCCCAAACTCCCAGACAATGGGAATTTCCTACAAGGAAACTTTAAAAACCCCATTGGGTTATAGATGGTTAACATTCTACCATCATGTAGCTCTCTGGTGGCTTCTAAAGGTGGATTTTTGTTTATTTTTTTTATTATACTTCTTGCTATTTTTTCCCAGAGGTTTTTATCCAAAGCTTCATGATTTATTAAAACCTTATCATCTGGCTTTGAAAACATGGCTTTAAAGTTCACAGCTGGCTTTTCTCAAACCTTTGACCGTGGTAATAAAACATCCTCCTGAGTTATTCCAGAGAAGAAACTAGGATCGATGAAGATAAATAACAGAGAAATAACGCTCAATAGATGAAGGATGCTAACAGGGGTGAGCTGTTTGAACAGATAGCCCTCCTGGCCACGGGACGTCAGTCCAAGGCTGTCCCGGGAGATGGGTTGTAAAAGGAGCGTCAGCTTTCCAGGAATTTGAGCTCAGTGACGTCCAAGTTCTCTTCCAACTTTAAGATCCTACGATATAATAATTGCTGGTTGCTTAAAAATAACAGTTCTAGCTTCTCCTGAGCCAAGTATTTTCTAAGGGAGACCTAGCTTCTGCTGTGACCTTGGGCAAGTTCCATAGACAGGACGCTTCAGCAACCTCACCTGTAATATGGGAAATAAACCTGCCCACTTCATAGAGTTGCTGTAAGGATTGAATGAATTCGTCAAGTGCTGACAGAGTGCCCAGCACATAGTACACACTCAGTATAATTATTGATTCCCAGGCCTTCAGTCCTACCCGTGGGGCCGGGAACAGGAAATGTGACAAACCCTGTCTCCCTCCTCTGGGGCCTTTGACACATCAAAAGTAACCATTCAGAACACGTTTGTAGGATTGCACAAGGCCTACAGCTCTGTTGTGTGTAGGTGCAATCCGAGGGAAATTTAAAAATACATAATACCTCTTAGTTTGTAAAGCTCAAGCCCAACCATAGAGGAATGAAAGTCGTGAATGAGTGAGGTGAGGTCGTCTCAGTGAGAACAGAGTATGAGCAGAAGCCAGTGGGGAAGGGGAGCTAATGTGTCCCAGGGACAAGGAGGCCCATTTGGGTGGTGGAGTTAGTGAGAGGCGTGTCAGGACAGAAAGGAAGCCCAGGCTGCAGGGATAAAGGATTCGGAGAACAGAGCAGTTTGCTCAGCAGCTGGTCACATCTGCAGGGCTCTATTTAGGGCACAGCATTGTGTAGGTGACTTGGTGGGGGAACAAAAGAGGCCAATTAGGAGACCAAAGCCCCTGTCCCCACCTGGGTAAGGTGGAGGCCGGGACCCATGGAACAGTGTCACTCGTATCAGCTGAGTACCGTCAGCTTTCACATTTGAAGCAGTTTTCATGGTATGATAGTATATGAATGAGTTGCTGACCTCTTTCTACCTGAAAAATTGCAGGAATACTTCCAGGGTCTGGAATCGCACGTGATTTTGACTGAGACGCTTTTCAGAAAGATAATCAGCTTTGCAGTCCCGCAGGAGACTCAGTTCCACGCAGAAGTGATGGCGCAGGCTTCAGCCGTCCTGAAGGGGGCTCACAAGAGGGGCGTGGAGTTGGAGTACATTCTGGAGGTGAGACCCCGGGTGCAGCGCCTTCCCCCACAGCAGGCCCCCTACCAGGAAACAGACCGTGGAGGCAGGACAAATCCATTCCTGCGATTTGCCTCCTGTGACCTTGGAACTCCCTGGACTTGGCATCCCGTGTGGCCCTGTCCCCACTGTGTTTCCTGTTTGCATTTTGATAAAAGCCTTCCCCACTCTGCGAGCCAGCTGCAGGACCACTGAGTTCACACTGGGCAAGACAATGTACTGGCCTTCGGTAGTCAGGCTGAAAAACTTCTGACCTTTGCTATAAATTATTGAAACAAACTTTGAGAGATTGAAAACCAGATTTTCCAATTTAAAGCAAAAATAAAAATCTGAATTTAGAAATAAGTCACTTGAGAGTTCTTAGTAGAATGTTTATGGTATATATTCATATTTCTTAAATGTCTGTTTTTTTAAATTTGCAAGTGTACTGTATTCCATTCCCTTGCACTTGACGTAAACAGGCCCATCCCTCTAGTTACACTGTGTGCTCATCGCCCCTGTGGTAAAGAATGAAACTGCCCGCTGTGTTCCAGGCGCGCTGCGTACAGTATTCTGTTTAGTCCTGCAAACGGGCTAAATGGGTATTATTATTCCCATTTTTAAATGTTAAAAATGAGGTTCAGGGGAGTTAAGTATCTTGTCCGTGATCCTTTAGTAACTAACATGCTCATGCTGCTAGTTGGTTGCAGATGCCACAGCCTGCTGACAATGCTTTTCAGGGTCACCATCTGGTTCCTGGCTTCAGAGCCATCCTTTGCTTTCCAAAGCAAGCCCCCGCCCCCGGGCATCTTCGACAGCACTTTAAAGAGAATCTGTCAAGTGCGTGTTTTGCACGGGAAGAGGAGCACTACTCCCAGGGGGCTTTGCGGGCTCACAGAGTGACGTTGCCTTTCAGACGTGGTCCCGCCTGGACAGAGACCAGCAGGAGCTCAGCAGGCAGCTGGAGGCGGTGGAGGGCGGCACCCCCAGCGTGGGCCTGGTGGAGGAGAGCGAGGACAGGCTGGCCGACCGCATCGCGCTCTACCAGGTCAGCGTCGCAGGCATCTCGGCTCGGCGGGGGAGTGGCCACACCTCCTTTGGAAACCCCCACACGGTCTTAGCAGAATCCAAACAAGCTTGCAATTACATATTAAGTACTGCTACTTTTATTTCAAGCTATTGACATTGTTGAAAGCACATAAATTTTAAGTGTTTGTTTTATAATGGAATATAAAATACTTTTTTTCTTTCCTTTTATTTTTTTACGAGAGCTCGTTTTGAAAATTCAGCCTCCACCAAGCATTTGCTGTAGTTTATACTGATGGCACACTATCTTGAAATAATTATAGTTCAATAGCTTTAAATGCATGTAAAGTTATTACCAAAAAAAAACCACACAACAAAACAGGACATCTACACTTCTAGTAGGTGAGACATCTCAAAAGTTTCCAATGTTACTTGGATGCAAAGAGTTGACGTTTGACTAAAGATAATGGAAACACTGTGGGCATCAGAGAAATTACGGTTCTTAGAGAGACAAATTGCTTTATCCAAACTTCTGACCCAGTATTTTCCATCCTTTTAGCATTTGAAATCCAGCCTTAATGAATACCAGCCCAAGTTATACCAGGTGTTAGATGATGGGAAACGACTCCTGATGTCCATTAGCTGCTCCGAGCTGGAAAGCCAGCTGAACCAGCTGGGAGAGCACTGGTTAAATAATACCAACAAGGTGTCCAAGGAGCTCCACAGGCTGGAAACAATATTGAAACACTGGACCAGGTAAATACAATGACTGTTTTACCTGTCTTTAGATAGTGTTGAAGAATATTCATAAGGCAAGTGGGTGCAGGACTTGAAAATGGTCCTTCGAGGAAGTTATCACATTGTTTGCAAAATAAAGGCAAGCGCAAGGCCCCCACTTGGATTCTTGTGTAATTGTAAAAAGATGTAATCAGAAGTGGGCAGGGAGGCAGCCTCACCTTTGAGCTGACCGCCCCCCTGGCCTGTTGACATCACATGGTGGTCACAGTAAAACTCTAGGGAGAAAGAAGAGAAACGGGCTTTGAGGAGATGAAGTTTCTCAGGGACAATGGGAATATCCAAGAGAGGTGGAGGGTTGATTTTACATAATGAAATACTCTGTTTCTGTGCCATCTTTATTTCTAAGACCTTTTAATAACAAACATCTAATATTGTCTGAATAGCCTTAACATGGAGGAACAGGAAAAATATATTTTTACTGTCAGCTTAGAGAAGGGAAAGCTGAAACTTGGAGAGACTGGCTTGCTTCAGGCATAAATATTAAGAGAGTAGAATTGGAGAGTTTTAGCCCAAGGCATCATTCTCGCAAGTCTATCACACCCGTTTTAAGATTAGCATTGGGCCCGGGCGGGCGTGGGTGAGCAGGTGAGCATTGACCCAGGATCCAGGAGATCCCGAGGTTTGATTCCCGGTCAGGGCACATGCCCAGTTGTGGGCTCTATCCCCAGTCGGGGGCGTACAGGAGGGAACCGATCAATGACTCTCTCATCATTGATGTTTCTGTCTCTCCCTCTCCCTTCCTCTCTCTGAAATCAATAAAGATATATTTAAAAATAAAATTAGCAATGGGACACAGACAACAGGATGGTGACTACCAGAGGGAATGGAAGTGTTGGGGGGTAGCAGAGGGTAAAGGGGGAATAAATGGTGACGGAAGGAGACTTGACTCGGGGTGGTGAACACACAATATATAGATGATGTACACCCAAAACCTATGTAATTTTATTAACCAATGTCACCCCAATAAAAATTCAATTAAACTTTAATAAAGTAAAATTAGCATTGTTGAATAACATGGGTTAGTGAAAAGTAGGGATCGGATGTTGCCTTATAGGCTCATTAATATACTTACAGGTATCAGAGTGAGTCTGCAGCCCTAATTCAGTGGTTACAGTCTGCGAAAGACAGGCTGGAATTTTGGACTCAGCAATCCGTCACAGTCCCTCAAGAACTGGAGATGGTCCGTGACCATCTGAACGCTTTCCTGGTAAGAATCCGAAGCGTTTGATTCAACGTTATTGTTTACAGGCCTATAGGTAAGGCCTGACCTACACTAGAAAAAACAGAAAATCAGCTCTCAGTGGGAAAACGTAATAAACCAAGTTCTAGAGACTCTGTCAACGTGAGCTCTGTGTGTTGAATAATTATGCAAAACACTAGGCTCAACACCACCTCTTTCAGTAGCTTATAGGCAGTAGCCTCCTTGTTGGCTCTCATTCAGGGCAGGGGTAGGCTGTTTTTGTTTTTTCTCTGCAGGGTTGAACATAACTCCCCTTAAAGTTGTGTATGTGAGACGTTGGTCTGGCTGTTTAATCCTGACTTGAATTTTGCTACCACTTTCAGGAGTTTTCCAAAGAAGTAGATGCCAAATCGTCCCTGAAGTCGTCTGTTCTGAGCACTGGAAATCAGCTTCTTCGGTTAAAGAAAGTGGACACAGCCGCCCTGCGTTCTGAGCTGTCACACATAGACGGCCAGTGGACTGACCTGCTGACAAATATTCCAGCTGTTCAGGAAAAGCTCCACCAGGTATAGCAAGAGTCTTGGTTGAATCGGTAATAACTGACTTAAGCGGTATTAAATGGAAAGCTACGTCAACCTGCTTTTGCTCACAAATTTAAATCAGCTGTGTCTTGGACACCTTGTCTTTTCTCTCTTCCATTGTATTGCATATTAAAAGTGAACTATCCCACAGGTGCCATATATTCCAAGGGCTGCTTTAGTACGTGTGTGTTACAATCTCTGTCTGGCCTTGTTTAAATTCTTTGTTTTCTTGTGAGGAAAATGTGGGTAACTATATCTACCTCATAAAGTGAGTAGTTATGAAGATTTAACAATAATAAATGTAAAAGACATATAATCTTAGCTACAATACAGCAACTGCCATTCGTTCAATATGGGAAGAGAAGTGGGAGAAGGAAAGTCAGTGTTTCTCTTTCCTGGAAATATGCTTCTCTCCTCTGAACTCCCAGAGGCTTTATGTTTCTCCCTCTTTTCTACTCATCACTGTATATAAGGTACGATAGATGTGTTTAATGTCAATTTTTTATTCCTACCAATCAGCAGCTATACACTTCTAGAGGACAGGGAACATCTCACATTTATCTCTGTATCATTCTGCACCACATAGAAGTCCATCAATATTTTATTTTATATTATTTATTTATTTGTTTGTTAATCCTCATGAAGGATATTTTTCCCATTGATTTTTAGCGAGAGTGGAAGGGAGGGGAGAGGGAGAGAGAGAGAGAAACACTGATGTAAGAGGGGCACATTGATTGGTTGCCTGCCATACACATGCCAACCGGGGATAGAACCGAAACCTGGGTATGTGTCCTGACCGGGAATTGAACTGGCAACCCTTAGGTGCTCAGGCTGCCACTCTGACCACTGAGCCACACTGGATAGGTCCAAAGTCCATAAATATTTTAGATGATTGCTTTGTTCCTTCAAATTATTATAATAAGTATTGGCATAAATGTATGATGTATTAAGTAAGATTCCGAATTCTAAGTATATTTTAGTTAAAGACTGAAGAGATTGGCTATGTTCTCAGGAGTAAATATTAGAGTGCCAAAGCTCCAGAAAATGATGGTTGGTCGTGTGGTATTTTTCTTTCTTCTTTTAACATTCTTGAGTCATAATACACAGAGATTTTACAAGCTAATTAATAAGATACATCTGTTGAATGTTTTGTAGTTGTTTTTTTTTAAAGTCATAAAAGCAGCTATAAAATAACAATAATATTTTCTTCTTTCTGGTGTTTTGATTAATTAGTCAGTGTTTATACAATGTTTATAGTATTGGATATCAAGTGAACATAAGATGACAATTACTGTTCAGCGTTTGCCTGATGCTTAGTTCCAAGCTTCTAATGAGGTTAAGATCCAAAAATGTCATTAAGAAGTGTTCTCTCTGTGGGCACATTAATAAGGATTCATGTAGGGTTTTTACGTTAACAGAAATGGGGTTTGAATTTTAATACCTGTGACGTGTTCTCTTCCCCCGGCAGCTCCAAATGGATAAGCTCCCTTCCCGCCATGCCATTTCCGAGGTCATGACCTGGATCTCCCTCATGGAAAACGTCATTCAGAAGGACCAAGAGGACATAAAACATGCCATAGGCTGCAAGGCAATCAATGAGTACCTTCAGAAATATAAGGTAATGTAACATTTTAGTATTTAACTGTTCATGTTTTGGAAAGATTTTGTTGGAAGGAACTCAAGAACTCAAGAGATGGAAATCGGGTTGTAAAGTATAGATTTCACGTATATCACCCCCCTAGTGGCAGGCATAGAAAAGTTGTCCTGTATTGGGAATAAATAATAAGATTTTGTGTCATTTTAAGAAATCATAAAAAGAAATACTATAATTTAAAAATATTTTATAGTGTAATTACACAATTTATCCAATTCTACATCTTCTGCCTAAAATGTATATGTGTGTTTATATTCAATATATTTATAAATTCAAATTTTTGTGTTTTCATAAATTCAAATATATTTATAAATTCAAAAGTTATAAATTTGATTTATGTTTAGTATATGCATATGTATTTTATACATAGGGTGTCCCTCCCCCAAAATGTATGCACACACTTTGAATAATCTTTAAGGCAGTGTTTATTAAAATGCATTTCCTTTTCAAAACGGAGCTGTCAGCTGTTAAAGTGTGTGTACCTTTTGGGAGGACACCCCGTATGTTCACTTTCTGAAAATAATGGGTTCTATGCATACGCACAGATGGTGCCAGTTGGGCTAAGTCATGGAAGTCGCAAGATTAAGCTTGAGGTTGCTTAAGGTTTCCCAACTCCTGAGGAAACGTGAGACATGCGTAGGTGTGACCTTGCTTTCTTATTTTCTCCCTTCTCTCCCCAGGGCTTTAAGATAGACATTAACTGTAAGCAGCTGACAGTGGATTTTGTGAACCAGTCCGTGCTGCAGATCAGCACTCAGGACGTGGAGAGTAAACGCAGTGACAAGACTAACTTTGCCGAGCAGCTGGGAGCAATGAATAAAAGCTGGCTGATCCTGCAGGGCCTGGTAGCGGAGAAGGTGAGCCCGGTGGCCTCTGCTGCCTGCATGCCAGGGACACTCCAAGAGGGGCACATCCTATAAAGAAAATTAACTCCATGAGTATAGAGCTACGTACACTGGGCTCAGGGCCGCTGCTGGGAGAGTGCCGCTGAAGGACACGTGGCCCTAGGTGCCCTTGAGTCGTGCCAGTCATTTTATTGTATGCACCCTCCCCCCTTTGCATATTGCATACTGTTTTAGTTTTTTAAGGATGCCTCTTAATTTCTTTGGGCCTTGCTTCAAGTTGACTTAAGTTCTTTGCTTGCTTACCAAAAAATAGTCATTGACTCGTACTTTGTAACGTTTATTTTAAATCATACATACAGTGGACTGTATTTTTACGAATTCTCTGTTTGGAGAAATAGTGGCCTGCCAGTGATTTGGATTTAAAATAAAATCGCAAATTTTATTTCCTTATGTTTGTTCAGATCCAGCTGTTGGAAGGCTTATTGGAATCTTGGTCAGAATATGAAAATAATGTACAGTGTATGAAAACTTGGTTTGAAACCCAGGAAAAGAGACTAAAACAACAACATCGAATCGGAGACCAGGCTTCGGTTCAGAACGCAATGAAAGACTGTCAGGTAACGGGCTAGGCGGCTGACATGCTCTAGTTCAGTTTCATGGCATAAGCCGGAGGAAGCCGCGTTCTTGAGAATTTAGAGTTAAATGTTGAAAAGAACTGCTCTTGGTTACAAGTTTCTCTGATTGTGTCAGTTTATAGAGATTTTTCTAACTTAGGATTTTTCACCTCTTTTTATAAATTTCAAAATAGAATTTTTAAACACACTCATAACTGAATAATGCTGCTAACCCCCAAATACGGATCATCAGATTTAATAATTATCAAGATTTTGACATGGTTACCTGATTTATTTATTTTCTTCTTAAAGATGTCACAGTTAATTCCAGATAGCGTGCCACTTTATTCCTGCATGCTACAATACACAGCTCTAAAGAATGGACTTTTCTTATATAACCATAACATTATCACCACAAAAAGTTAATATTTTTAATGCTCAACCCGTAACACTCTTCCCTAAATTTTCTGTAAAATGTCTTTTTCCAGTTAATTTATTTTTCATAAAGATCCAGCAGTGTCCACATGCTACATATGCTTGTTAGCTCTCTTAAATCGCTAATATTTTCTTAATATTATTAACTCGTCACAGAAAATGTAGACTGTCCCCAGATTTGGGAGTAGCCTGTGTATTCCCTTAAAAGGTCATTTAACTTGCTCTCCTCTCTCCTGTATTTCCTATGAATGGGAGTTAGCACTAGACTAGAGGCTTGATTGGGTTCTGGTTCAACTCTAAGGTGCTTCACCGGTGACAGTGTTACCACTGTGTCACATGCTCGCTCTGTTAGTGACAAGGATTGCGGGTCCCGTTGCCGTGGGCATATTCTAAATGTTTCCCCTTGACCTAGGAACACTTAATCTTTCCTCAAGTACTCTTGTTTGTACAGAAGAAAGGGGAGCTGTTACAGCTAACCCTATAAGAATTGTTTTTAAAAATAATTCAATGATTTGTAATGCGTCACAGATTAGCCGTGAAGCTTCTCTGCAGTGTCTCCGAAGAACAGTTCGAAGACTCAACCGGGAAGTAATTCTGCAGAAATGCTCCTGTCCCCAAAGCTTGTTTTATATTCTAGACTAGACTTCAAAAAGAAAAGCCTTTGGTAATGAACTTCCTTGCAAGCAGCACTTTTTCTGTGGGGCTCATATAAAGTGAGGTATATTTAAGCTCTCAAGCAAAGCTTTTTGGTATAGAAACGGAAGAGCAGGCACCTTTCTCCTGGGCTGACAAGCTAATGGGCTGCAATTCCGAGGGGGCATAAAAATGGCAAAGAAACCTCATCATATAGAGAAATATCATGAAATTTCAAAAGCTACATATCAGAAGATGGTGCATAAAAGAGGGAAGGCCAAAAGCATACGTTGTTGCATTTTCAGTTCTCCAGGGGCCAGCGGTAGTTCTCATTGAGGCATCAATTCTAAAACGTGCAAATGAGCCAGAATTGCACATTTTTACCTTGGAGGATGGGAAGTTATACTTGATGAGCTCCTGAGTTAAAATACTTCCACTAAATTGAAAAGAGCACTCAGGTGTTACCACGACAGGATCAGCGCTTCCCTGTTGCATTGTTGGAATAGGCTTTGCTACTCCAAGACTGAAATCATACCTTAGTATAGCTGCTCTTTCTCTTTTCTTCTTCCTCTCCCACTTTTTTTTTTCTTTCTTAGTATCTTTTTCTTCTTTTCCATTACTTTTTCCTGCCGTTTTCCATCCCGTTTCTTTTCATGTGCGTCTTCTCTTAGGGCGAGGCATCGCTGTCTGGGACATGTAGCCGGCTCCCGGCACCGTTTGCTCCTTTGCAGACCCAGATTTTAGGCTCCCAGAGGTCAGGCCAGGCAGTGTCCAGAAGCAAAGCTTGACGTGCGGGTTCAGGAACTGGACACCACTGCCAATTTGTAATTTCAAATGGAAAGTCATTTTTTGAAACAGAGAACAGAATGAATGTAGCTCACACAGATATTTGGGGGCATCACAACATAATTCACTGGCAGTTTCTGTGTGTGTGTGTGTTGTTTCTCTCCTAACTGGCTGGTTGTGTGTGTGTGTCTAGTTTTTTTCTTAACTGGCAGGTTCTGTTGGCAGTACCACCAGCCTTGATCAAAATTTATTGTCATTCTTGAGAAATTGTTCCTCTGGACCGGAGTGTGAAATTCAAGCCAGCATACTTCAGTTGGTTCCTGGATTCAAACTTTACTTTAAAAATCTTGAATGTTTTTCCATTCCTTCAGAGGCGATTTATTAATTTAAATCAATACAGAAACTGCTGTTTATGAATTAACTCAAGTTAAGAATGTTCATTACAGCAAAAATGTTAGGTTTGGCTTTTCCCTTCATTGATCAGAAGCAGAAGCATCTTTTAATTATTACTGAAAGGAAAGGAAAACACCTTAATTTTGCACAAAATATATATTTCAGCCCTGTTTCCCTCCTGGGTTTTGCGTTTATGCCAATATAATTGTGTAGGGCATTGTAGAGTTGTGTTTCTGAGCAATGGATCATTAGTTCCATATTGCTCATTGAAAAAATTAACATCTGTGGATAAATGAGAATAAATTTAATGCCAATGGTTGAATTTTAGAATCATATTGAAGACAGGCTGGAAGGATTCTTTATTGTTGTTTAATCTTTTAAAGAGGTAGGGAGAAATATCTTTAAATAGTAAAGTTGATTAGGTTTTCTGTACTGCCTGAAGGATCTGTAACCACAGTAGTTAATATATTCATGCTCTGGTTAGTAATCTAAGCTGTCAAAATAATGACAGAATTATAAAGTGGAAATTAAAGAACAATATTAAAAACACAAGCGATGGCTTTGGCTAATAAATGCACGAATTTCTAATTAATACATCATGACAAAAATAGCTTCATGATAATGAAGGAGAGAGAAATAAGTTTTCACTGAAGCATGGCAGATTACCAAATGACTGAATATAATAATACTATCTTACATTTGCCTAGTTTTTTAACAGCTTAAAAGATATTGTATATACATATTTATCTAATGTTAGTCTGTTGAGGTAAACAAATATATTATTATTATTCCTATTTTATAAATTAGATAGAGAGTGATTAAAAGTATGGACCCCACAAAAATAAAAAAAAAGAGGCACAACATTTGTAATGAACACAGCAGAGACTGGGCTCCTCCCCACAGCCCATCAGTAGCACCACCCAAACCCAACCTTCTTATCCGTATGTGGATCATAAGAGAGCGGCGGGAATCTTTTACAGAATTGAGACATTATCGGAACTTAATATACTTTGGAATTTTCTTCGCTCTCACCTCCAGGGTTTCTACATTTCTACATCTGGTTCTGGGGTGTACTTCTGAATTGGAGACTGTAACCATGCCTTAATATATGGCCTCTCCCGTCACCCCAGCATGGGATCCACAGCCTCTCCACATTCACGCCCAGCCACCTTGCTTCCAGCGCTGGGCTCGTAGTCAGTCCGCTCAGAAGGTTGGATTCTAAGCCCACCTTCAGCGCCCCCAGCTCTGAGACCCAGACGGGCTGTATAACGTTGTCTCCCGCACGTTCATTCATAAAATGGTGAGAGCAGTCAGAGCCTGCCTCGCCGAGCTCTCCGAATTTTCAGTGGCATTAAAATATAAGTTAAGGTTATGATGCATAGTTAAGTGTGATCTCCAGGTCGTTGCCTCATTTTATTTTTTGAACATCTCATACTAACAGTAATAAATACACATCCCCCCAAAATGAGGATTGGATTCATGAAAAAAACCTATAATTTTTTTTGAATCACATAGAATCAGACTATTTTAGGGACAAATAAAAGATAACACATTCTGAAGACACTGAGACACAGTAGGTGTTTCTAACTTACTCGATTTGTAGCAGAAATGTACCTAAATGTCAGATACAGGGGCACAGAATGCCATCTATTGCACTTTACCTATGGCTAGGGCCGGGTAATTTTTCCAGCACCAAGATACAGGAGTTTAAGAAGATAATCATGTTACCATTTCCTACCATTTATTTCCTGTAGCTTCTTGAAAAAAATCCCACGGTGGCATTTTCTCATCTCTTAGGTATAAATCAAATTTTACGTTTTAAAGTTATGCTAATTTATCATGGAATAAATAGACTATATAAATAATTTAAATGCAGGAAGACATTTCACTGTGGAGACCCTGTCCTGAGAATGACAAGCTTTTTGGATTATTAAGAGGTTTCTAGGATATGAGACTCTAATGGCTCAATTTCAGTGCATCGTCATAGAACAATTTAAAACGACAATTTTTTAAATCTTTCAGGATCTAGAAGATCTGATTAAAGCAAAAGAAAAAGAGGTAGAGAAGATTGAACAAAACGGACTTGCTCTGATCCAGAACAAGAAAGAAGAGGCCTCGGGGGCTGTCAGGAGCACGCTGCGGGAGCTCAGCCAGACCTGGGCAGAGCTGGACCACATGGTAATGCTGCTTCGAGAGCTGCCCCAGGGCCCTGCTGGCCTCCTCACGTCCATGATGTTACATGTTGGTGCTCCCGGTGCAACTGAGCAAATAATTAGGAATCTGTACATCATCTCTTTGTCCTTAAGTTCACTTTATGAACTTTTTTTTTTTTTTTTTTTTTAAATCTAGCTTTGGATGTTTTCTACAATAAACACAATAATCTCACTCATTTCCATGTCCATAGATACCATCTAGGCAAACGGATTTCTCAAATGTGTATCCCAGCCAGATTTTCTCTCCTAAAATCTGGATAGAGATGGAGGCAGGGCTTGAGGGAGAAATCAGCTTGTAGACATCTCCTCTTGCATGACCAGTAGACATGCCACCTCCTGTCCCCCACAAACCTGCACTCCCGCCATCTCGGTCAGTGACAGCTCTACCCTTCCAGTTATTCAGGCAAAAAACCGTGGAGTCTTTCTTCACTCCTCTCTTTCTCTCGTGCCCCACATCTAGTCCATCAGCAAACTTGTCAGCCGTATTTTCAAAATAGCTTTAGGTTCTAACCTCTGCCCCGTCCCTGCAGTTGGCACCTAGGTCTAAGTCACCATGACCGCTCACCTTGAGGATATCCGTGACCTCCTGAATACTGCTGAGTAGTATTAAATATATTGACCTTTTTTTTAAAAAAATATATCTTTATTGATTTCATACACGTGAAAGGAGAGAGAGAGAGAGAGAGAGAAACACCGATGATGAGAGTCATTGATCGGCTGCCTCCTGCATGCCCCCGACTGGGGATCCAGCCCGCAACCTGGGCATGTGCCCTGACCGAGAATCGAACCCCGATCGCCTGGATCCTGGGTCGATGCACAACCGCTGAGCCACGCCCGGTCGGGCGAAATATATTGACCTTTTATCACGTTTATATTCTATAGCTATGTATATGTTACATATAAAGATTATGTACACAACCTTTTCAAGAAATTTATTTCAACTGAGTGTTTAACTTCAACATTGCTACATCTTACTTTTCTAATCTTTTTTGTTTGTTTAATTTATAATGCCTGAAACCCTGATGAAGTTCTTAAACAGTAATGTTTTCCCATCAGTTGAACGTGTATTTTATAATTTTAAGTGTTATGCAATTCTGAGAAGTGTCTGTCCCTTTGAAAAGGCTGGGCAGCTAAAGATACTGCTGAGGTCCGTGCACGACCAGTGGAGCCTCCACAAGGTGGCCTATGACGAGATAAACAGCTGCCTCATGGAGGCCAGATACTCTCTTTCCCGGTTCCGCCTGCTCATTGGCTCCTTAGAAGCTGTGCAAGTCCAGGTAGACAACCTCCAGGTAAGGAGTGAATCCAGTCCACCCGTAACATGCTTTTTAATTTGAGAAAATAAAAAAATTTAAAAAAGCAAATGTGGACATTGTCCTAGAATATTGCTGTATATTGCTTACATTTAATTACTTTAAAAAAATTTTTAATTAATTTTACCTGCTGTATTTGCTACTCATTCAAACTTGCCTGTGGATACCAAATTCTGGATTAATGGTATATAATTAAATGAGTTTTTAAATTCTAACATATAAATATCCACATGAATATATTTTATAAAATGATTTTATGCCCAAATCGTCCTCCTTGATCCATGTTGCTGCCTTTTGTGTCTTTTGTTTTCTCTTTCTATTCTGTTTCTCCAAACATATTCCAAGGGATTAAAAAGAAAGCAAAGAGAAAAATAGCGAAAGCGGTAAATTTTTTAACTGTTTATTGTTTTCTCTTTATTTAGCATAAGATCAGTGGTCTGTCCGATGTGCACAAGCATCCTCTCTTTCTAGCACCCGCTGCTTCGTTTCCTGTGTGCCCATTGTCATTGTATCATCTAGAAGGACGTCGCTGCTGTTTGACTTATACACAGCACCCCTCCCACCTCGGGCCACTGCCCTCAGCTCACTGCCCCCTCACTTCCCTGCACACCTGGGCACCGGGCACCCCCCTGGCGCTGCTCTGTCTCCCTGGCTTAGTGATGCAGGCTGTGGGATGGCAGGGCAGGCCCTCAAGGGATGGGCTGCCAGCAGGAGCCCAGCATGCACCTCCGTGGTTAGGTGACCAGAGTTTCTGACCTCATTGGCAGACTTTCGGAAGGAACCCGCTTTCAGGGTGGGCCGGTCAGGAAGGAAGAGGGATAGGATGTGTCTATCAAATTTATTTGAGCTTTAAACGGCAGTTGTGGATACTCAGAATCACTAAAACTTATTTGGAGAATAGTAAGTTTAAAAGCACATTTTCTAACTTTGAGGAGGTTGTAAGTACTTTTTAACTTAGCCTCATCTGTGTTTATTTAACACCTGCAAATGCTGTCTTAAGGTTGTGAAAGAATTCAGGGTCTTTACCTTGCAAATTCTGATTTGATGGCAATCGGCTATCGGTGATAAACGGGACTGGGCTTTTGTCACCTCCTTCGCGAATTTAGTGGTACTAAGAACCGAGGCTATCAGCAGTATTTCCAGAGAAATATCCATCTTCACGTTCTTTCACTGATAGAAGACTCTGCCAAGATGATAGCCCGTCTAGTAAATATTCTTTGCAAGGAAGAAAACCCAGATATGGAACTTAGAGATAGTACCCAGAAAAACGATGGCTTCTGAAAGTCCAGTTACCAGGGGTTTCTGGTAGAAAAACTCTAGGTATGTAACAGAACAGAGTCCTGGGTTTTAACTTGGGTCAGCAGAGAGAACCACAGTGTACACATTGCACGCACTTCACCACCATAGCTCCCTACTCAGTAACAGACGACGGTGCCCTGTGTGAGCTTTTCCAACAGAATTCCAGATGTAGGAAGGCTTAATTGTCAAGAATCCCTTCTCACACCCATAGGAACAAAATCGTAAACAGTAAGAAATGGTTATCTAAAGAAAGCTCATAAAGCATTGGAGCGAAGTCATGGTTTATATATTCATATGTGCGTATGCATGAAAACAGCTGTAAATCACTTTTAGACTTGGTTATTAGAATCGAGATGCTGTCATTTTATCTGTGGTATTTTTTCTTTGGGCAGAATCTTCAAGATGATCTAGAAAAACAGGAAAAGAGCTTGCAGAAATTCAGCTCTGTCACCGACCAACTATTAAAAGAGTGTCACCCACCTGTGACAGAAACTCTTACCAATACATTAAAGGAAGTCACGATGAGGTATGGAGCATGCTGATTTTACACTGTTATGCATTGCTTATATCACCACCACATTGCAAGTAATGACACAATTAAAACTTGCCAGCACTTTGAGTTTGCGCTTTATAGATTCTATTCTATGAATGCTTTAATTTTCACCAAATGAAGTTAATGATAAATAAATGCAGGGGAAATATTTAGAAAGAAATTAGAGCTGCTGTCTACCCACGGATTGATCTCATTCCTACGGTCTACCCCTGAAATGAGTGTGAAATGTTACTTTTTATGATGTTAAATGGAAATTAGACATCCTTGCATTATTTCCAAATTCACATGAAGCCGGATCATGAAAAATAAAACAGTAAGTAAGAGCATTTGGCGAGAGGTGGTAATCTGCCCACGAGCGTTGGCTATTGTTTCCAGATGGAATAACTTGCTGGAAGAGATCTCCGAGCAGCTGCACTCCAGCAAGGCCCTCCTGCAGCTCTGGCGGAGATACAAGGACTACTCCACACAGTGCGCATCCACAGTTCAGCAGCAGGCCGACCGGACCAACGAGCTCCTGAAGGCGGCCACCAACAAGGACATCGCCGATGACGAAGTGGCTGCGTGGATCCAAGATTGCAACGTATGTTCAGAAACTATCATGTTTCTCCCAACATGCCTCCCTCTGAACTTTTCAAGTTTAGCAGGGCTAGTGCTGATGTGGCTAAACTTTTGGTGCGTCTCAGTATGTGAGATAATTACCCCCAAAATACTTGTTTTAAGCATGAAAGAGCCTGCTAGGTTTTCAGAACACATGTATCAGATTTAAAAGGCCCCTCCCATTGTCCCATTTTTAAAGATGAGTTGTTTTCCTGTTTTCCCATTTTCCCTAATGGAATGATCTAGGCTGTCTGTTTCGACAGAGAGGGTCACTGTAAGAACGACCCCATGGAAAGTAATGTTATATCTTTAAAAATCAATTGTTAAATACCTCGTCCACTTCGATCTATTATCTTTTTTTCAAGCATCAGCATCATTTCTTCTAAGCATTAAATGGTACGAAGGAGTCTTCCTCTCCTGATTTATGGTTGTACTGCTTAATAGCTTTTTAATATTTCTCTTTTTCACTGTATCTGCCAATAACCTACTTAAGGTTTTCGGGAACAGCTCTCTTGTTTCACCCAGTGCATGGCTCTTATAATTTATCTTCATTTGTCTTATTTTGTTTCAAATATCTTCTTATAAACTTTCCCGTTCAGTTTATCAGAATCAGGCAAGTTATAAAGAGCACACAGATAAAAGTTAAACCTCTCCTAATACCTTTACACTAATAATAAATAATCCCTTTAAAGCTCCAGTTCGGTATTTATGGTGACGATAGCTCACTGTTTTCCCCTCCGCCTCCAGTTGATCCTTACGAGATTTGTCGTTTTCCATTCAGTCGTCCTGAGTTCAGAGGCACCTATTTTAGAGTGTAGTGCTCCCAGCTGTCCCCATGCATTTGTCCGATTTGCGTCCAGGCTGACATCGCCTTTGGTTTCCCCCTCTCCCAGGAGGCCCTGCGTAGGTATAGCAGGCTCCGCTCTCCACCATGGCTGGCGGGGCACCAGCAACAGGTAGAAGATCAGCCATATTTCAGCTCTTGGTAGATGGAAACCAGAAACAGGGAATTTCCACTGGATTATAAATTTGAGCAGATAAGAGGGTCCCATAAAAGGTGGAGGCAACAGATACCGAGGAAAATACGGGAGGAGCAGTCTGCCCTTAGCCTCGCCCACCAGAACCGTCCAGAGGGAGGGTGCGTCGCAACCACTTGTAATGCAGCCACCCAGCGAGCAGAAGATACTGTTGATAAACTCACCCCTTGGGCCTATAATATTAAGTAGAAAGAGGTAAAATGTAGCACCGTGTTTTCAATTTGATATCAATTATATGAAGAAGCAGGAAAATACTGTCAACTTGTACACAGCTATTGGCTCTTCTTGTAGAGTTTTCTTTTCTTATTTATGTATGTTTTTCTGCATTCCCCTGTGTTCTACAGCGAACCTATGTGTCTCTTATTATCAGAATAGTAAATCTATTCTTTAAAATTTTAATGCATATTTTTAAAAGCTTAGATTCGATTCTTGACTTTTTTTGGGCAGGTGAAGGCTATTTAGTGTAATAATTTGACAAATAAGAATGGAGTGTTTCTAGATGTGTGGCCCTCTGCTGACTGTTTGTAATAAGGAGTGCGCTTACCATGTTGCTGCGTGACAGGCATATCTTCATCTCCCACAGGACCTCCTCAAAGGGCTGGGCGCAGTTAAGGACTCCCTGCTTGTCCTCCGTGAGCTGGGAGAGCAGCTCAAGCCACAAGTGGACGCTTCCGCAGCATCGGCCATCCAGTCAGACCAACTCTCTTTGAGTCAACACCTCTGTTCCCTAGAACAGGCCCTTTGCAAACAGCAAACTATGTTACAGGTACAGAGCTCGTATTCGGGATGTGTTGTAATTGAGTGCTGTGTAACTTCTGAGCATAAACACAGGAAAAGAATTTTCACCCTTGGCACAGTGCCTCCTGCAAGACCAAAGAATTAAAACATAAACAAACTTGTAATTTTCAGTGGGGATAAGGGAAGGTGGGAGTCTTACACTGTTCTTTACAAAGTAATTGTGCCCCTAACCCAATGCTTCCTTCCATGGTACTGAGTAAAAATATGTAATTAATAAACACTAAGTGGCTTTAATGTTAAAATTCTTAAGTTTTCGCAAGAATCAAAATATATTTCTGTTTGGTAATATATTTCAAAAGTGACTTTAACTGGTTAATTAATTAATCCTACATAGAAGTAATTCCTTCTAAGTTTTAGAAAACTTACAGTAATAAAGAAAAGAAAATTTAAATCATTGTAGCTTTGTCTGTCTAATTGCAATGTGACAGTAGAATAGGAGAAATAATTTTGATATCCACTAGTCCTTTCACTAGACTACTAAATATTAATTTATTTTTTTTTTGTAATGCAAAAGGCTGGAGTGCTTGACTATGAGACCTTCACCAAGAGTTTAGAAGCTTTGGAGGCCTGGGTAGTGGACGCCGAAGAAATACTCCAAGGGCAGGACCCCAGCCACTCGTCTGACCTCTCGACCATCCAGGAAAGGATGGATGAGCTCAAGGTCAGTGTGTTGAAATCCTAGGCCCAAGTCTATGGTCTTCTGTCCTCCAAACCTCAAGGAAAACTCAAAGCTTCTGATGTAGGCCTACTTTTTATTTTGAGCTTCCAAGGAAGTTCTCGCCAGCTCTGTTTTCCTGCTCTCCTGGGAGGAATGAACTGTCAATGAGCGCAAGGTGATTTCACAGCCCGTGATGGGAGCCTAGCAGGAGCAGTCCTAGGATCCCACCTCACCCCTTCTGCCTGCTACCTGCAGTCCCTCCCCAAGCCCGGCTGGCCCCTGCTTCACAGGAACCTCCCATCTCCATCTCTGTCGTCATTCACTCTTCGTTCAAGCTGCCCCCCGCTCCCTCTCAGTCCATGCAGCAGGCCCCCTGGATCATCTTTCAGCCACCCCTCTCCCTCCACCCCAAAGTTGCCAGGATGATCTTTTTTTATTTTACAATTTTAATTACAGTTGACATACAATATCATATTAGTTTCAGGTGTACAACATAGCAATTAGACATTTCTATAACTTACTAAATGATCCGCCTGACACCATACCAGAGCTCTTTCTTTTAAAGGCTTTTACTTAATTGGAAAATATTTAGGTAGTCTGTAATGTAAATAAAACAATGCGTTAGATGTGCAAATTTTATCATATTCCCCCTGCTTAAAACCCTCTGTGGGTTTCCTTCCTCTCAGGATAAAGGTCAGCGTGGACTCTCAGGCCCAGCAGCGCCTGGCTTTCACCTTCCTGAGGTCTCTTCTCCACCGTCCATCTGTCCTGCAGCCACTGGGAGCCACATTGCTTCTGTGTCTGTGTGCATGATGTCCCTCCTTTCTGGAATTCTTTTCTTGACCCCACCAACTCCCTCCCGTCCAAAAGGAATGATCTTCTGGTCATTTAGTTCAAGCCTCCACCTCTGTCCATGGGCAGACTCTAGTGACACACTTTCATGACGCCGTACCTTTGTCTTCAGTGTTTGTCATACCATTTAGTCATGTCCATGTGCCAGGTGACTACGGCGGGTGCCTCTGCTGTTGGAATAGTACCTTCCTGTCTGCAAGCACCGTGAGAAGGACCGTGGTCACGGCAGTTTTGTTCACTGCCAGTGCCTTCCCATGGGCATTCCTCCATCTAATAGTTATGCTCTTGGCTTCAACAGTTGGGAAGGTTTATTCCTTCTTCAGGGTAATGAGCCTTTTGCAGAGCATGCAAAGAGAAAACACACACAGCCAGATTTCCTGATGGCCTTGCGAATGCCCACAGGAAAGCCAGAAGAGGCAGCTCTGTCCTGGGCTGGAAGGGAGGAAAGGGGTCTGAAAGCACAGGCGGTTTTCTCAGTTGAGTGTCATCAACGTTGGGGCTGAGGTCAAAGACCTAAAACTGAAGCTGTTTGGATAGTGTAGAGTGAAACCCAGTAACTCTTGTTTACCGAGCTCTGCCCCTTAGTTGCTAGGTCCCCTCGAGCAATTCACTGAAAGCCTCTGGGCTTCCTTTTCTTTGTTGTTAAGCGGGAATAGTAGTGAAGTGCCCTGTGGGATTGTTCTGAGGATAAATGAGTTCTTGTGCTACCTGCAAAGCTCTTAGAACAATGCTTAGTTCAAGTAAGTGGTCAATAAATATTCACTATTATTATAACTATTATTATTAAATAGTAAAGGAGCAGATTAGCGTGGATAAATGATGTATGACAGGTAAGAAGCAAATCTTTTCAGCCGTCAGCATAATTCTCACCTTTATCAGTTCTATCAAGAATCCCTTATTAGTATGTAAATCCAGTAAGGAACACACGTAAATTACTAACTGTTCCCTTAAGGCCAGTGAGCAGCAGCACCTACAGTAGCAGCAGTCCTGGAAGCCGGCGGGGAGAGGCAGCTTTCCCTCCTTTGCAGCTCTGCCGACTGCAAGCGAGGGACCGAGAAACGCAAAGGGGACCGAAGACCGGCACACGGCCCCTTCCTGACATCCAGAGTTCACCGTGCACTTTGACAGCGCTCTGCCCTTCCTGACCGCTGCGCTAACCCTGCTCTTAAATCTTGCTTTCAGGGACAGATGTTAAAATTCAGCAGCATGGCCCCAGATTTAGACCGTCTGAATGAGCTGGGCTACAGGCTCCCCCTGAATGATAAAGAAATCCAAAGGATGCAGAGTCTGAATCGGCACTGGTCTCTGATCTCCTCGCAGACAACCGAGAGGTTCAGGTAGGGTCTCCGAGAGAGGTGTTTTGGCCACTGTGATTTGTCAGTAGAAATAAGTTCACGATCGGTGTACAGTTATAAATGCTAGGTCTTCCCAACAATACGAAAAGTGAACTAAAAGTAAGAAATTCAAATTGTGGTTTGTTTAATGTACTAAATATTCATTTAATATAAAAAGAACAAACTCTTTTGTGCAACAACATATTAAAGATACATCACCAGATTTTTAAACTTAGCATTTTAAACTTTACTTTTCAAGTTTTTCCCTAAATGTTACTACCTAATGGGAAAGTTTTGTGATGGTCAAATTAGAATTGGAAGCGGAAAACACTCACTCTTGCTTTACAAGCCAAAGATACGAGAGTAAGCAACGGCAGAGCCACTGTTCTTTTTCCTTTATTCCCTCAGTAAGTTGCAGTCATTTTTGCTACAACATCAGACTTTCTTGGAAAAATGTGAGACATGGATGGAATTCCTGGTTCAGACGGAGCAGAAGTTGGCAGTAGAGATTTCCGGCAATTATCAGCATCTTTTGGAGCAGCAAAGAGCCCACGAGGTAAGCTGTGCTAGTAAATTTGGGGGTAGTCACACAGGTTTTTGGAAGGTGCTGCAAAATGCCATGTGGAGGGATTAAAAATGCCATGTGCCGAATCTTGTGCTGAGTCTGCTCAGATGCATGCAGTGTTTTTCTCTTCTTTCTTAAGGCTGAGGTTTTGATAGCTTAATTACAAAAACGTAGCCCAGTCCCTTGCCCCATATGAGCATGTGGCCGGCTTCAGCACCCTACAGTGTGTAGCGCCCCAACTGCAGCCCGAGTCTGCTTACGGGGGTGGGGCGGGGAAGCAGAGCGGGGTGTGTGGAAGGAGTTCAGAAAGCTGGAGTCAATTTTCAAATTGAGTTACAGACGACCTTAACACTGCCAAGGCTGGCTGCTGGAGAGATTTTGCTTTGATCAGAATTCTTTGATAAATGAAAACTGTGTATTCTTTATAAAGCATCAAGCTACCAAAATCTCCCAAATGAATACTACATTATTATTATTTTTCAAGAAACACTGAGAGAGAACCAGAGACAAGGCTAAATTAGTCAATTTGCTGTTAGTCTCTGTTTTGCTATTTACTGGTGTGACTAAGGTCTTCCCCGTGTTTATAAGATACATGCAAGGGGAAAGATAGGATTTACCTAAAAGCAGAGAAAGGCTTAAAGCAGAATTTAAAAGCGACTTAAACTAATTTTAAAGTATTTTTTTCACATTTAAGAAATAGAGAATTTAAATATGTGTAAGGTATTTTTTAAAGTCCATTTTTAGTGAGTTGACCGATGAGGAAATAAAAGACAGTGAATGAAGTCTGCAGTGACATACCTGCCACTTTACACCCACTAGGATGGCGACAGTGAGAAAGATCAGGTTGGTGAGAGAGGGAACAGAGAAACTGGAACCCTTACACTCTGCTGGTGGGAACTGAAAACAGTGAAGCTTCTTTGGAAAACAGTTTGGCAGTTTCTCCAAATGTTAAATGTAGAGTTACCATCTGACCGGTATTTCCACTCCTAGTGGCATTTGCCCAGGAGAAATGGAAATATATGACCCCACATGTACCTGGTGGGTAAGACCTTGTCCAGGAATATTGTTTATAGCGGCATTATTTGTAATTGCCAGAAAGTGGAGGCAACCCAAATATCTACCAACGGAAGATAAATATGATGTGGTATGTTCGTAGAGTGGATGCTGCTCAGCAATAAAATAGGAATGCAGCACTGATAAATACTGCAAAATGGGTCAGCCTGGAAAACATCATGCCAAGCGAAGAGAGCCAGTCACAATAGATAGTATACTGCATGATTCCATGTATATGAAATGCCCCGAGCAGACAAATCCATAAAGACAGAAAATAGGTTAGTGCTTACTTAGGGCTGGGGGATTGAGAGGAAATGGGGAGTGATTGTTTATGAGTATGGAGTCCTTCTGGGGGTAATGAAAACAGTCTAAGATTTATTGTGGTATTGGTTGTACAGCTCTGCAAATATAATAACCATTAAATAGGTGAATTGTATGGTATGTGAATTATATCTCAATAAAGCTGTTTAAACAACAATGGAAAAAAGGTTGAAATCCTTTCTGTTGAATTTTTTAGTGGTGAGATAATTTTATTAACCTAATTAAATTGAAAAATAGTGATTTCAAAAAAAGTCTGGTCTTTTTTTTTTACTCTTCAACTTTTTAAAAGGACTTAAGCTAGCCTCTGAAAACAAACCATATTCTGCATACAGAAGAAACTGGAATGCAATTTATGTGTTAACTAACTTTATAGGTGATCTCGAAAGAAAGGAGAGGAACATAATCCAACTTTTAGTCAGTTTTAGTAAACAAAAATTAAACTTTGAGTATATCTTAATTGATGTTTTAAAAATACAGTATTTCTGAGCAGCAGGATAAAACACGTATACTGATTCAGCTGGAGATATTTTTCATAACCTTGCTTAAATCAGAATTTTTAGAAACTAATTAGAGAACTGGTCATTAAAATGAGGAACTCTAAATTACGGGTTTTTTTGTTTTTTTAATGAAAGTTGTTTCAAGCAGAGATGTTCAGCCGTCAGCAGGTTTTGCACTCGATCATCACGGATGGGCAGCGTCTTCTGGAACAAGATCAAGTTGATGACAGGTAGGATCGCTTATACATTATTATGAAGAAAGGTTCCAGTAAATTAGTCATTTTCTTTTTAATGAACAGATTAGAAGGCACATGTCCGATCTTCCTGAGGCAGTTGTGCTGCAGTGGAGCCTCAGTAATTGGAAGAAAGGCTTCTATGAGTCTCTCAAATGACTGCGTATTGAAGCTTTTTAAAGAACTGCTATTATATTATATCATATGAAGGACATAGCGTAATGGGAAATCGCCTAGCCAACCTTCGCTAGTCCTCAGGAGGAGGCTGGGATTAATAAGTGGATCAGAACTAATTGTATCAATGATGCATCAGTGGTTTATAAACAGATGCTTCTCATATTCTCATGTGATTACAGAAATTTTATTTCTAAAAGGAGCTTCGAGATCACTAGACCATCCCTGTAACTTGTAGGTGAGAACTTGAGGTCCAGAAACGTGAACTGACTTGACCAAGGTCATGGAACTATGTAGCACAGAATCAAGCCTAAAACTCCTGTACCGGGTTTATTGTAAGGACCAGCCAGCTTTCTCAGACCTAATAATTCCACCAGATTTGAAAATGCTGTGTTACCTTATGTCAGACTACACTCAACCTGAAATCTGGCTTCCTCTTCATGTACTTAGTACATTCCCTCTTTATTAAAAATGCAGAGGTAACATCTAGCTCCTCCTTAGCTCTGTGGCATGTGAATTGATGATTTTGTACAACATTTACACTTCCTACGAACAACGTTTATGCTATCCTATCTCTGTGGTGACATTTGCATTATAAACCTCATTTATTTTAGTACATGTGTATATCTTTTCCATATTTAGGACTAGCAGTTGTGAGTGTAACTAACTTAGGATTATTATTTTTTAAATAGAAAATAAATCATTATTTTTATTAAGAAGGGTTTTTTAAAAAATATTTTGGAAGCAATTTCATTTTTAAGTGGATATTTCTTTGGAAGAACATGAAAGATTTTTATGGTTAACCTTGGAATGACAAAATGTGATACCGTATTTATTCTAGTCGAAGTAAGCCAAATTTAATGTGAACTTTACAGAGAACTTAAGTCCTTCAAAGTAAAACAGATTTAGATGTAATTAACTTATCTTTTGCTCTCTCTTCCCTTAGCCAACTCTATAACAATATTACAAAAGTTGGAGCCACTAAGTAAAATAAAATTGAAAATGCATGCACAAGCCAACACCTATTACATTTTAAATGTTAACAGTTAGAGAAAAACACCAAAGGATGAAATTATGAGAGCTGGAATAATTTTGAAAGTTGCAAGTGAAAAACAATTCCGATTAGAACATGTTGATGGCAGGGAATCCTCAGATTACGAATGTGTTGTGTCTTAGAAGTTCGTATATAACTTCTGTTTTATGGAGTTCGAGTTCATCGGTGGGAACTGTGTCATGTTTTAAGCAGTTCCTCAGGCTGGCAGGTAGCTCAGGGCCATTCTGCTCTGCAGAGTGAGGCTGAAGGCGCCAAAAAGACCTTGGGTGGTTACCTGGCAGGGAGAGCCAGGGCCAGGGCTCTTCTCATGTCGCAGGACATCCTCAAGTCCTGGAGTCGCACGTTTTCAGAGATGAGAGACGCCCTTAATGTTTAGGAAAGTCTCATCAGCCCAATGTATCATATTTGGTTCTACTACCACTAGATGATGAATATCAGAGAATTTCTTTCAAAAACAGAAACACTAATCACACTTTTGGTTACAAGCTCAAAGTTTATAGTGGCCCTAGATAATAAGAGGCCTTAAGAAAATGAGTCCAGAAGAGTAAGTCCAATTCAGATTTGAAGCCACCCTCAAGAGGAGAAATAGTGGATCTAGGCGGAAAAAGCAAAACTAACGTAATAGAGACCAAACGAGCACTGTTACACATTAATACTAAAGTGTGCGAATCACAGTATAATCTGCACAGGAACTCAGTCTGTTGGGTGCTGGACAAACCAGTTCTAGAGCTACAAGTTGAATGATAAAGAAAACTTGATAAATAACTGCCAACATTTTTTAAAGGGAGAAAATACAGAAGTAGAAAAAAATAAACTAAAAAATCTGATATTATTTCCCTGGAAATTGAAAAAGCTCAAGTAAAATGTAATACTTTTAGGTATAAGGACAACCCTTGTACAGACAGTGATGACTAGCTTTCATTTTTCTAAGAACAAAGTGAAGTGGACTTAAAATGTAGAAGGGACAATTCAGATTAATATGTGAAATAATTGGCTAAAGATTAGGGCTGTTTATCATGAAGGAATACTGAGAGCTCATGGAGGACAGTTTTATTTTCAGTTTTAAATAGCATAATTTTATTTAAGTGGCTCATGACTAGCTAAAATCACCCAGTTTAGTTTATTCAAAGCAGCTTGTAATTCTAGCTGAGGTCAGAGGTTGTGAATAAGCATTGCTCCCCATCTTCTCCTGCTGTGGCACACACAAGGTGCCGTCACCTGCTGCAGACATCGCTATGGGTGCGCTTAGGGTGGGGGCCATCCCCATTGCAGCCGCTGCCCTGTGCTCCCTCCCCTCCCTTGCACTCAGGGAGAGAGAGGACATTGGCCTTATCGACACGCCTTCAACCTGTGCTGAAACATGAGAACACTCACCATGTTCAAACCCCCATATTTTAATTGTTATTAAATTTTAAATGTGCTTGCAGTAGACCTGGTAACAGATCATGGCGTGATATTTGAAAACCCCCGCTCTAGATCACTTTTCAGGGCTCGCAGTCATCGCGTGCGTGGACACTGGTTGGTAATGTACCCACGTCCAGGGTAACCGTTTTCCCCCGTGTGATTGTCTGTTCGCCAGGGACGAGTTCAACCTGAAACTGACCCTCCTCAGTAATCAGTGGCAGGGAGTGATTCGCCGGGCCCAGCAGAGGCGAGGCATCATTGACAGCCAGATCCGCCAGTGGCAGCGCTACAGGGAGATGGCAGAGAAGCTTCGCAAATGGTTGGTTGAAGTGTCCTACCTGCCCATGAGTGGTCTCGGAAGTGTCCCAATACCACTGCAGCAAGCAAGGACCCTCTTCGATGAAGCGCAGGTGAGGCGCAGAGCGGGTGGTTTTGCCCCTTTTCTGTATTTTCACTCTGCACGCTTTACCCCAGCCTCCGTGTCTCAGAAGGGCTCTGGAATGACATTGGAAGGAGGACAAGCGCTGTTCTCAAGTGTCAATAGACACACTCCAAAGCCATACTTACTGCTGGAAGTACGGGAGGTCCCAGCCTCTTACAGACACTCCCTCCACTTCACACACCAGGCCACCCAGCAGCTCGCTGGACCCCAGCAGGGATGGAAAGGGAAGGCAAGGAAAACCTGGCATTGGTGACACATATTTCACTTGCAAGCCATTTAAACAACTCACTGAAATGTTCTGGAGAAGAGAAAGGCTCAGCCCTGCTTGTCATTCCCGTAAGGGTCTAGCCCCTTCCTTTCGCTGGCCTGGGAGTTTGGGATTCCAGCTTCTTGGATGGTTAGATACCTCCTTGCGCTCTCATCAGTCCGGCCCAGAGTATTTCATGGGTTTCTCTTCCTTTGAAGGTCACTGTTCCCTGCTTCCCTTCTCCTCCTCACTTCTCTGGGACACCTCATCTACACACATGGCTTCAATGACACCCCACCAGCAGAGAGTGGCCAAATTGGTATCTTCTGGTCACGTCATTTCCTGAGCTTTCAGCTCATGTATTCAGCTACCTTTTAGATTTACATCTATATGCATCAGACATAATATACTGTGTGCGCTCTAAGAAAGCCTGGGTCCTCTGGACCAACCATTCTCTATCAGTCCATTCCCCATGTTCCCAATCCGAGGAAATGTCATCACCAGCTGTCTGGTCTACCAGCCAGGAACCCTAGGTTCTATAGCTATATTCTTCTTTTCCCGCCCTCCTCGCGTCGAGTAGTACTCACGCTTCCATCTCGACTGCCCTTGCCTTAGAGTAGGTGCTCATGATTTCTTGCCTAGAGAGACGATAGCTTTTTAACCTGTCTTAGTAGATCCAGTCTGTGTTCTTTCTACCCTAATGCTGAATGCTTTCAGCAAACACACCATTTTCCTGCTTAATATTCTTCTGCGACACTCACTTTTATTTCACAAATAAAGAAGATGGTCTTGCCTCATCTTCTACCCTCTCCTAGGTGCATTCTACCGTCCAGCTGCTGAAAGCCACCTCCAGTGCCCTGAATTCACATTTACCTTGTACAGTGAATTAGCCCATTGCCATTTCTCTGCACGGAAGGCCTTTTCTCGCTGGCTCCTGGCGCTCGCATGACACCAGGATCTTAACCTTGTTGTGTTTATATGTCTCTCAAGACTCTGAAGGCTTTACCACTTCGAGGGGGCCCCTTGTGCACCCCGTATGGGTTAGATATGTGAACACTGGTCTTTCTTTGAATTAGTTTGTATCAAATATGAATCACCAATGTTTTCTGTAGAATATAAAGATCACAAGAAAAAATTTTAAAAAGCACCAACACAAAAAAACATATGCAACAATGTGCTCCCTGTTCATCAGTCTTATAGGGCAGTTTTCATATTGCATCATGATTGTATTTAACCTGGGACAGATACTAGGCCTCTGCCTGTTGACTTCTCATTTACTTACACATTGTTTTATTTATACACAATGTATTCACTCAGTAAATTCTTGTATGATAAAAGAGGGCATGCTATGCATGCAAAATTTCAGGGTCATTTAAAAATGCTTATAATAGGGAGATGGTGAAGGAAAGAATAAGAAAGTAAAAAGCTGTGGTTCCTTCCAGTTCAAAGAAAAAGTGTTCCTGCGGCAACAAGGCAGCTACATCCTGACGGTGGAGGCGGGCAAGCAGCTCCTGCTCTCTGCCGACAGCGGGGCCGAGGCCGCCTTGCAGGCCGAGCTCACGGACATCCAAGAGAAGTGGAAGTCCGCCAGCGCGCGTCTGGAGGAGCAGAAGAAAAAACTGGCCTTCCTGCTGAAGGTGGGTCCAGCCCCTTCCTCCTACAGACGTAATGGAGTTAAAAGGCTATTTAAGGGTTGTGCTGCCACCTCCCCCAGGGGTCCTGCAAGTCAAATAACACAAAGGTCATTGTCATTCCCTACAGTATTTTGATCCCCTGTGTCTTATTTACGACTTTGTCCTGTCTTGCACAAACCAGAAAAGTTTCCCAATTTTCAGCAGTTTGTCTTTCATGAAAATCCCCCAACAAAGTGGCTTTAAGTCTAACAAGACCATCCAAGCGACCAATTCTGATTAATGGCTGTTGCTAGGCCAGAAGCCATGTGATGACTGTATAAATCCAGACAGGAATGCAAAGAGTAGATTCTACTATCTGATCTAAGACTCCAAAGTAGTTTTTAAGATTGGTATCTCTTATTTTATAGCAGGGAAAAACCTATCCAACAAGATACTTGTGATTTGATTTTAGCTTATCTAAGCGTGTTGTCATGAGATAAAATCTCCAGGAGCTGTAGTAAGCCTTTGGTTGGACACAGGTTGCATACTGATCACGCAGAAAATTTAGGGAAATATAAATTTATCCAGACTTCCCACAATTTGCTTTTCTCCCTCACTTTCCAAATCCATTTATAATACATAATTAAACCAGCAGTTGAAAAGGAGCACAGACTCTACGCTTAGATAAAACCAAGTTAAAACCATAATATACCAAGTAACCTGGTTGACTCAACCTACCTAAGCCTCAGTTTCCTCAGCTGTAGAGTGTGTATGATTATACCTCCTTCATAGAGCACTGCAAGGATTTAATGAAATATTGAAGGTAAATCATGTGGCACATATTGAGCCCTCAATAAATAAGGGTAATTATCATTGTTGATAATATCCTTTTAAAAAAGTAAACACAGCTAAATACTAAATATATGTTGATGATTACCAACACTTGAATGTGTTTTTCTGTTAAATTTGGCCCGTCACTCTTTTGGATCCACCGTAACAACTAAAGTGAATGGAATACATTTTGGGGTTTTTTTAATGCTTAAAGTTTGCACACCCATGGGGTTTATTCTATTAAATTTTTCTTAATAATACATTACCTTGTGTGTCGAAAAGAATTGATCAAAAATGCCACTGAACATCTGTTAAAGAATTATTATTTGCACACAGTACGATTCATCAGTAACACAATATGCCTGAATGCTTTTTCTTCAGTTTTGCTTTCAGGAAAGGATTAAAAACATTATAACTCATTCTGTAGAGAACATGTTAATCATATATTTTTCTTTATTCGTGATGTGATTATTGGACACATTCCTAAGACCCAATAAGACGAGACGGTTGACTCACTGCATTTGCTTTTCTTGTCAGTCTGTTTGTTGGCGTGTAAAACACCCACTTTAATAGATGTTTGCAGACCATGACATTTAGTTATTTCCTTATAATTCATGTAGCAAAGAGACTTAGTTATAGCTTCAGAGTCTAAGGCTTCCTTAGAAAGGGAAATGCCCATTCTTTTCTTGTTAAAGTATATTTTATTTTGGATCGCTCACTGGGTTCCATTTGCCTAAGGAGTTTATGAAGCTAAATTTTAATGTTTAGACAGCCTCATGTTGCTGTGTCTTTTCTCCACAGCTATCATATAATGCTCATCTATTTTTAGCTCTTAATTTAAAACTCTGAGTAAATATGCCAAAAACATGATCATTATAATTCTACATCCCTGCACGGTCACCTGCTTTACCGTCACCTCTTAATTGTGTTACGAAAAATGAGTTGACCTTTTCTCTTTTAGAACAATGAATGTTTATGTTCTGTAGGTTGAGAGATCTCAAAGTGTGTGATGATTTCATTGAGAATGCTGTTCAACTTCAGTAGAAAGAAGACCTTTCTGTCTACTCCTCTCACTTTGCTTGGCATTGATGAACTAAGCGTGGCCTAGGAACGCAGAGATGTTTTAATAAGGGGAACTAGGACAGATCTGTCCAAGATAGACTGTTTCTTTCTGGCAGATGGGAAGAGGGAATGTGGTTATATACTCTAGGAAATTCCCTAAAGGAATGTTAAAGAGAAATGAGAATTCTGAGCCCAATTCTCAGTTCAGTTAGAAACCAAAAGGCGTTTTGAGTATGGAAGAAGTTTAGTCAACACATCTTAAAGAAGACAGCTTTAGTAAATAGCACCTATGGGTTGCTGTGATAAAAATAAGGCACCTGAAGAGAAGATAGAAGGAACCCAGACAAAGAAAGACCGGTAATGGTGGAAGAGATAACCTGAAGGAAAATGCAACGTGATTTGGCACCACACCAGTTACTCAAAGCAACTCTAGTTCTTTCCCTTTGAGCTCAGGAACTTAAGTTATGGGGCCTGGTCACTGGGGAGGGCTGTTGTAAAAGGGGAAGCCAACGATCGGGGGTATTAGACAAAATTAAAGAGATTTGTTTAGTTGAATTTAATTTGCATTTGTACTGAGACAGATGAGCTCATCTGTAGATGGGTGCTATAGAGAAGCCAATCTCCATTACAGTTCCTTTATTTTGTTTTCTTTTACTATTTTTTTACTCAAACTAAATACATGTGTCTGATAGTAAAAAATCAGGTAATAATTAAAGTATAGGAATTAACAAGAGTATTTTTATTTTTTTCCAATTTCCTACCATAAAACAAAACAAAACCCAACTGTGAAATTTCTTTCTCCTGCCATTGTAGGACTGGGAAAAATGTGAGAATGGAGTGGCCGAGTCTCTGGAGAAACTACGAACTTTCAAAAAGAAGCTGTCCCAGCCTCTGCCGGACCACCACGAAGAGCTCCACGCGGAGCAGATGCGCTGCAAGGTAAGCTGCTGGGCTGAGCCTCACCCGCCCCCCGCCTCTGGGCTTCCGCATGATGCTGCCTTTGAAAGCACAACCGGTCACACTCCTGTGGCGTCTGCGGGTAGGTGCAGGTTCCTGGGGTATTATTGTAAAAGTGATCCTTCTGAAGCAGCCCCACTGGAGAATCACTCTAGCCCAAGAGTCTAGTTTACAGAAAGAAAAGTGAGCCTGGGCAGCTTGGGAATTCGGCAGACAGTGGCCCTGGAGCAAGGAACACAGCCTGCGGTCCAGAGTCTGCCATAAGGGAGCAGGAACTGTCAGCAGATAATCTCAGTTACCGCACGGGACACTGTCCTCCAGTCACTCAGGGCCCTAGCTCCTTAAGGATTGGGATGGATCGCACCTGACAGCAGATCCGTGGCTCGTGCAGACACTCCCTGCCAGCGTGACTTAGCAGCTGTAGGATTTGTTCCATTCACACCTGGAGAGCCAAGAGTAGCGCCCAACAGCAGTTCTCTGCTGAGCAGTCTGCAGGTCAAATCAAAACTACCTTTAAAAATGTCTTGTTCCCCAAATGATACATGTCCTTGTGTTCCCTGTCCTTTGAGAATTACTGCACTAGAGTAATTATTTTTAAAACTTCACACGTATGTAAATAAGTTGGGTTTTAATCAGTTCTCTGCTTGACTATGGCTAAGAAGGTAAGCATTTAAGAAAGATTAATTTTTAAAGAAGTCTAGAAATCATAAAAATTATTCATGTAACAATTTTTCTTTGATATTAAAATTACAGCTATTTTTTGAAACGTTAGAGAGTCAGACTAGGAAAAGTAAAAGGTAGTAAGTATGCCTTACATCATGGATAGTGAGTGAAATATCTTGAGGTGTAAATGCAGAAGAATACACAGATTTAAGTCTGCTTTAAACCTGTGATTGTAAATCCATGACAAATGATTGAAGAAAACTTCCAGGAGTGGGCATTCATTAGCTTCTGCTCTGCTCCAGTGCCTTTATCAGTGGTGTCTCAGTTGCCACGAACACAAGCGCATGAGAACAGTCTTTTATTTCCCTTTTACAGATGTGAAAACTGAGACCTCTAGAAGTTTAATAACTTTTCAAAGTTAGTAAAGGCTTTATTTTTACCACATGGGCTTGTCCAAGGGACTCTGAAAGCCTGAAAGAGTTGGTTTTGGGTGGTGGTGGTGTTACTTTTATAATCCGTACACCAAATCTGATGTTTGAGTTGGGGGTTAGCATCTGTTATAAAAGCAAGAAAACTTTTACATTGTTACGGCAATTTAATATGTCTATGGATATAAACAGAAATGCTGCATATTTAATATACCTGGATGGTTTGGTCTTTCAGCCAAATACTGTTACCATGGGACCTTGTCTCCCAAAATACACTTTCAAAAACACCCTGCTATTAAGTTTGGAGATTAAAAGGATGCATTTTGGTCCAACTCTCTGCTGCTCTTCCCCCAAACCACCCTTAGCAGCAAAACAAAACAATTACCTGGAAAATTCAGGCTGCAACCTTATTTGCCTAAATTGCCTAGGACGTTAACCTCTGACAGTGCCATTAATTGCCTTTGCCTTTGGAAACCTGTCTTCTGTGTGAAGAGACAAAAAGAGAGGGGAAAAGCCATGTGAAATATTCTATTTTTATACTAAATTAGCTGGAATCAAAAATCATCAAGAGCTGGCAAAAACCATGAGTTATACAAACTGCAAGATCTGTTCAAACATTGCAAAAACTAATGTCAACTTATTCAAATATTGTTTTATGATTTTTTTTTCTTAAATCATTCCCCCCAAAATCAGAAGACATATATCTGGACAAGTTACTTAAAGAAATCTCTAATCCTGTAGAAAACACGTTCAGTTCATTATTTTAAATTGAGTAAAAACACCAACAGATCTTCTGAACTACTGTATTATGAGTCTATATCACAGAATGTAACAGTTCGTACTGTTTGAAGATGAAAGTTCAATCTAAGAGTTTGAAGTTTTTTTAAAAATATTTTATTAACATGATTAGTATCTTGGAACAAAAAAGAGAATGGGCTAGGGGTTTATGCAGTCAGTTTAAAAGTAAAGATCAATGAGATAATGCAACTTCAACTTAGAAAAGATAATCTGAAACAATGAAATGATAAGTAGATGGTAGAAAGATTTTGTAAGCAACCAGATATTTTATCAGAACTTGGTGAATTGTAAAATTATGTAGGAAGAAAATATCTATATACCAAGTTAGATGTTCAAACAGAGTGGAGTGGAAAGGTAATTGCATCAAGAAGGGATTTTGAATACACTTCAGGAATTGTTGAGGATGTGCATGGGTATCCAAGTTTGCTTGTTTGTGTGTGTGTGTTGTTGTTTTTTTAATCTAGGAATTGGAAAATGCGGTGGGGAGCTGGACAGATGACTTGGCACAGTTGACGTTACTGAAGGACACCCTCTGCACCTGCATCAGTGCCGATGACATCTCCATCCTGAACGAACGGCTGGAGCTTCTTCAGAGGCAGTGGGAGGAACTATGCCACCAGGTAAGATGAGTTCTGGATGCAGCACTAGATCATAAATGTGGGAAACTGGGAAATGATTTGAAATGTCAAGTAGTGTGGCCCACATTTGGACCCGTCCCGTAACTCATAGTGTACACTGAGGAAGAAATCTGTTATTACAGAAGTATTTCAGATGAACTTTGGGCGATGGGTACACAATGCAGTGGGCAGATGATGTTTTGTAGAGTTGTACACTTGAAACCTGTACGGTTTTGTGAATCAGTGTCACCCCAATAAATTCAATAAGAAAATATTTCAAATGAAGACAAATTATGTCTTACCATTGTATGTGAGATGCATTCAAACTGGACTTGCTCTCTCTTTCACTGGCTGGCATAATGTTTTTAAGAGGAAATACAGTTTTGTGGTTCACGGTTGTGGTTTTGCTAGGTAGATGTCAGTGGTCTGTTTCTTTCTTAAACGTATGAAAACCATTGTTTTATGTGCAATTTTAGATAATACTGTGGAGCTGGCTCTGTACATGGCACATTAATTGTTACTATTGACTTATCATGGTTATTTTTACGAATTCAAGGTCTGTGGCATTTTTAGTCATACTTCCTTCATTTATAAGTACCTTCTATATGTGTGATACCTTGGAAGAGATCCAAGATTGTGTTTTGATTTGGAAATGAAAGGAGAGATTGGTGGAAAGGCAATGAGAAGACATGCGAGGCAAAAGGAATAGCCCTGATGAAAGGCCCGCGAGGGAAGAACAGGCCCTGACCTTGGCCTTGAGACCATACCCTCCAGGAAGCAGAGCTACGTCTGTCATGTTCCTTCCCCTACCTGGTTGCCTTACCTGGCACATCACAGACTGTGCCACATATGTGTTCAGTGAATACGTCAGTAACCATTGTGACTTTCACAAGCTGTAGTAGATGTCGCTGTTAGCAAGCTCACGACTGAGCTGAGACTAAAATCGGAGGAGTCTGTACAGTGAGGAAAAACTGGGCATGAACGAGTTCGGACGCTGTGGGAAGGTGTCAGCACGCCGAGCGAGCGCGGGTGGCAAGACTGAGAAAGTGCTGGTGGAAGATGAATGAGTTTTCAACTGAGGGGGGCGTGGAGGCTACACGTTGGCGTGGAGGGTGCGAGCAGGTGTCTCGGACAAGGTTACAGCTTGAAAACGGGCAGCGGGTCAGAGCAGAGGACCTGCCTGGGGAAGCGGTGTTGGGAGGGTCAGGAGGGGACATTTGAGAAGGAGCCTCTCTGTGCCCCCTGCCAGGCCAGCTGCGCTGCCGTGGGGAGCTCCTCTCCCGCCCCCGCTTCCTCCAGCCTGAGCAGTGCTTCTGTTCATGCTTCAGGAAATATCAGAGTTTAAGAGGCTGTAGACTCTTGGTTCATTTAACATCAGTAAGAAACGTGTTGGTAGGTAAATTTCTCTCTGTGTGTTTAGATTAAAACCCAGACATGTCTCGGGTCATGAGCAAGAGGAGAATTCTGGAGCACACTTGGTAAATGTGTCACCAGTTTCCTATGAATACATGCTATACTTTTAAAAGAGGAAAATTAGTACTGTGTAAAAATACTATGAGGTTCAAAAGGTACAAATTTCCAGTTATAAAATGCACACATCCTGGGGCCCTAAAGGTAATTAAGTGAGGTGACAGATGTGTGAACTAATCTGGTGGTAATCATTTCTCATTATATAAATGTGTCATATATCATCACACTGTATACCTGAAACTTACACTATGTCAATTATATCTCAATAAAGCTGGAAAAAGTTGTAAAATTGCTCACCTGACTTATACAAGGTGAGGCAAAAGTAGGCTTACAGTTGTGAGTACATGAAACACAGCTTATTCATGTACTATTGTTTATTAATTATTGTATTATTTTCCATACAAACACCTGTAAACCTCCTTTTGCCCCACCCTGTATATAGACAGTCTGTAAATGCATTTGGAAAGCTGCTGTTGATCATAATGTGCCATGAAAAGATTAATACCTTGCACCCGTGACTTAAAGAAAAAAGAGGAAGCAGGTTGTATAGTGTTTCTAGAAGCTTTCTGTATCAAATGTCTTAAGGCATGAAGCTAAAGCATACTTATCTCACATTACTTCAGTCTAAAATAGTTATTTAAGTCAGCGAGAGTTTAGCCATGGGCCATACATACCAAAGGTGCCAGATTTAACTGTAAGGAGGAATATAGATTAGTTACGAGTTCTTGAGTTAGTGTTTCCGGAGAAATTCTATCAAGTATGAAACCACAAAAGGAAACGAGCTAGTGTCTACGTCTCATTTTCGAAGTTACAGACGTGTTTAAATGACACTACTCCTCTGTAAAGAGCAAGCAGTCTGTTCCGATTCCAGCGAGCTGCTGCTGAGAAGGCTGGACTCACCGGGACTCGGGGAGGATGCGGGAGACGCGCCGTAAGTAGACGTGGCAGAGAAGAGTTAACATAGAAAAGCACTGTTTTCAAATCAACTCCCCAAATGCTTTGCTGCGACACTGCAGCCGTAGCGCACACTTGCTTTTATTCCTGTTTTGCTTTGTGGATCTGTGTGTAATTCTAGTGGAGATATAAATATATCATCATAGTACTAGCTCGGTGTTTTTCAGATTGTCATGGTAAAAATATTTGAAGTTGAAAGCAATGTATTTCCTGTTCAGCTGCCTCTCTGGAGGCTGAGCCAGCACTTGTCAGCTGTTGGCACCACGGTGTGTTTGTACCTTTGAGAAAATGTGAGTGCTAAGCTGATAAATTTGAGGGTTTCAACTGAACCCAAGGAAAGAGATGTTAGCATTTCCTTATCACGCAGCCTAAATATTAGGAAAATGCAGTCCCCGTTATGAATTAAACCTTTTGAAAAGCTTTCTGGCGCCAACTTGCAACCAGTGCTTGGAGCCTACCTGTTTCTCTCTCAGCCCTTGCTCTGTGCAAGCCAATAACAGCACCACATCCGGTGCTGATAAACACTAGAGACACATACTCTAGCTGCTCAGTGGAGACAGAATGCATGAATGCCAAGGAGAAAAAATGAAAAATTCAATGATGCCCTGGAGCAGTAGTTGTATATTAATGAGCAGCTTTTGTTAAGTCTTTAGTGTTTACTGGTCACTTTCCTAAATTATTTTATCGTTTGTATATTCTGAGCCTACTGTATTCCAGTACATAGGACAATGCTTGGTACATAGTAGACACTTGTTTATTGTAAACGATAAACATTTTTTATTGAATTTATAGGGCTGACAGTGGTTAATAAAATTATATAGGTTTCAAGTGTACAATTATATAATACATCATCTGTATATTGTATTGTGTGTTCACCACCTCAAGTCCAGTCTCCTTCCATCACCACTTATCTCTCCATGCCCTCTTCTACCTTCCCCATCCTGCTTTTCCTCTGGTCATCACCATGCTCATAGACAATAAACGTTTGTTGAATGAATTTTGGAATCAGTGAGAAATTAATGTACAGATGAAGAAAGTAAGGCTTAGAGAAGATGAGTACCTGGCCCTGATCATATCATTAGTAAGTGATGAAGACTGTTTTGAAACTTGGCTATGTCTGGATATTTGATCATAATGTTATATTACAACCTGTGTCAAAGACTCGAGCTTTGCTGGTCCTACCTCATACTACTATAAACAAATGCCTCAAATGTGTGTAACCTTTTCTCTCCCTGGCTGTTGAATGGGGATAGTAATACCTCCCTCTCAAAGGAATAGTATTTTTCTATTATGTGGTCACCTTTCCTGCAAATGTTGTTGAGAAAAGCTCTAGAATTCACTCTTGCCTATGGCCAAGATTTGGGGGAAGAGGAAGGGAGAAGTTGTTAATCTTAAGTCTCAAAGGTAGCAGTTTCTACTGCTTTCTTGGAAAATAGTTGCTTTGAGAAGTTCCAGTTGGGAATTGGAATATAGTTTTAGCTTGGACATCGTTAACAAAAACTATCAGCCACACTCCTGACTCTGTGGATGAAAAATAAAAAATCATACTCACCAGAAAATTGAAAACCTTGGGGCTCCAGCATACTGTACATTCTGCCATCAGAGTTCTAGAGGAAAGGGGACCCAGAAGGAGGGAATGTACTCGTATCTTCAGCGTGGACTTAGAATCGCTTAACATAGGTGAAAATTGTCTCCAAAACTTTTAGCCTGTGTCCTTAGCCTTTTCCATGCCTACCAGTAACCACCCCGGGTAAACTCACTGCTCTTTGTCTGTTCTATACTTTTCTGCCTCAAAGAAAATTTTGACTTTTTTAGTAAAAGGACATAGATCCTGTATTATATCTACACCAAACCAACTGTAGTGTGAAGCTGGATTGTCGGCACCTGTAATAAGTGACTGTGCCCGTGGCTCCTCAGGAGGGAAGTACAGGGTCCACGTCTCCCACTTGTATTCAACAGCACATCCTGTTGTGAAATGTTGCTGAAGAGCAGTGTTCCTGGGCCTCCACGGCAGGGAACAGTACCTGAGGAGACGCACAGTTGTTAATCTTAGTCCCCCCAGCAGAGCTTAGTGGCTGTTTGCCGCAGGGTGCGAGCCCCACTCTAATCATCCTCTTGCATCCTCTCTCCTTTCACCGCTCCAGCTCTCCCTAAGGCGGCAGCAGGTCGGTGAGAGGCTGAACGAGTGGGCCGTCTTCAGCGAGAGGAACAAGGAGCTCTGCGAATGGCTGACCCAGATGGAAAGCAAGGTTTCCCAGAACGGAGACATCCTCATTGAAGAAATGATAGAGAAGCTCAAGAAGGTATGGGACGCCTGGCTCCATCGGTTTTCCCCTCCTAGTGTTTAGGCAAACTTGGAATAGGTGCTCAGGTGGCCTTGCTCACGATTACTTTCCTGGCAAAGGAGTACTCTATTATGAATGTTTTCTATTTTCAATATAAAATAAACTTGCATAGGAAGGCCTCCTTCACTCTAAAAATACAGAGAATATTTTATTATTTTTGTGTGTTTTTTTAATTTAAAATTTTATTTTTAAATTACTGTTTACATTCAATATTATTCTGTATTGGTTTCAGGTGTACAGCATAGTGGTTAGACAGTCATATACTTTACAAAGTGTTCCCCTAGATATTTCAAGTACCCAGCTGGCACCATACACAGTTATTGGAATATTATTGACTATATTTTCTATGCTGTACTTCATATCCCCGTGACTATTCTGTAACTGCCAATCTCTACTNCTAGATATTTCAAGTACCCAGCTGGCACCATACACAGTTATTGGAATATTATTGACTATATTTTCTATGCTGTACTTCATATCCCCGTGACTATTCTGTAACTGCCAATCTCTACTTCTTAATCCCCTTACCTTTTTAACCCAGCCCTCTAACCCCCCTCCCATCTGGCAACCATCTGTTCTCTGTATCTTTGAATCTGTTTCTTTTTTCTTTTTTTAAAAATAGGTTTAGTCTTTATTGTTGAAAATATTACAGATGTCCTCTCCCCCCA